GGGCCAAATTTGTGTTTGTGTGAAAGCAGTCACGTGACCATTGGATGAGACTGCAGCCAGATCACCCAGCGTTAGAGAGATAATGGTGGGAGGGCACAGAGAGCAGCAACTTGGCTTTGTGTATTGTTTCCATAGCTTTAGGTAAGCAACATGATGATGGGTGGGTCTGTTCACCTCTTTGCACTAATATACTCAATATTGTTCTGCAGTCTGGGTAGGGCCGCACGATTAATCGCTTTTGAGTTAACCTTGATTCATACCACTATGCGATCTCATTCTCTGGCTGCACGATTAATCGCTTTTGAGTTAACCTTGATTCATACCACTATGCGATCTCATTCTCTGGCTGCACGATTAATCGCTTTTGAATCGCAACCTTGATTCATACCCCTATGCAAACTCATTCTCTGGATGCAGTTAATCGCTTTTAGATCATGACTTCGATCAATCTTTAATCTCTCTGCAGTCTCATTCTTACGTGACAATGATTTTGCTATTTGCTTGTTTGCATTGATCCATTGCATCAAACAAAGTGCTGCTTTTTTCCCCCCTCTAAGCGGTATCATCACATGGCAGACCTCCTAACATCACATCACATGTTATATGGAGCAGAGCATTTTAACTTTGTTTAGCATTTTTTGCATTTGGAAATGAGTTAAGTTTAATAACCAACAGCATCCTCTTTCTGTTCCACAAAATTTTGACCGATGTGTTGAAAAATATTTCGCCTGATATTGGGAGGTTGCTGGCGGGAAAACTTTTACAAACAATCGATTGTCGCATGTATCGTTTTTAAAGATGAATGTGTTCATGTGTACCAGTCATGTCCGTCCCTGATTATAAGCTGACAAAGTCCTTTGTTTACCAATATGAAAAAACTTCTTAAAGACAATGTGTAATGCCATATAAAAATAAAGATAGTAAATAATTAATCCATTCATCCATTTTCTGTACACAGTTGTCCTTTGTAGGATCACGGGGTTCCAGAACCTATCGCAGGAGCTTGTGGGGCATAGCAGGGAGTAACTCAGGATGAGGCACCAACCCGTCGCAGGGCACACTGGGCAGAAACCAGAGTACCTGGAGGAAACCCCACGGTGTGACTGAGAGGACAGAAATAGTGCAGGGGTGGAAACTCGAACCCGGTCCCAGAGATGTGAGGCAACAGTGCTAACCACTGTGCTGCTGCATAATAAAAAATATGTAATGATAATTTTAAAATGTGTGGTTTTAGTAGCGGGCCGGTCTGTAGGGTGTTGGACAGATAAATAGTGAGGGCTTTTCCCTCCACAATCTAGTGATAACTCTAAAAATTGTATTTCATATTTGCATAATGGCTTCTCCATCCATCCATCCATCCATCCTCTACCACTTGTCTGGGTCAGGTCACGGGGGGAGCAGTCTAAGCAGGGAAACCCCGACTTCTCTCTCTCTGGCCACTCCGGGGGAATCCCGAGACGTTCCCAGGCCAGTCGAGAGACAGTCTCTCCAGAGTGTCCTGGGTCTTCCCGAATGACCGAGCTTCTCACCCTATCTCTAAGGGAGAGCCCAGCCACCCTGCGGAGGAAACCCATTTCGGCTGCTTGTATTCGCGATCTCGTTCTTTCGGTCACTACCCACAGCTCGTGACCATAGGTGAGGGTAGGAACGTAGATTGACCGGTAAATCGAGAGATTTGCCTTTTGGCTCAGCTCCTTCTTCACCATGACAGACCGATGCAGCGCCCGCATCACTGCTGACGCCGCACCGATCCGCCTGTCGATCTCCCGCTCCATCCCTCCCTCAATCTTGAACAATACCCCGAGATACTTAAACTCCTCCACTTGGGGAAGGTCTTACAATGGCTTCTCTTTTGTTAATTACACTGAAGGGTGGAAAAAATTACTAATGGTAGCTTGAATTGGTTTGTTATGTATCACAAGCACCCATGTAAATGTGCTGCCTATCCACGCTGCTTCTGCTGGTATTGGTCTATAACCACAGTTTGAGGCTGAATATCTTTTTGTTGTGTTTATGTAATAGTACGATGACCTGCAGTGACATTTGACATTAATATGAAAAGCATAGCTGTATATTATTCCCTTAGCCTTGTATTATTATTGTTCTGTAGATGAAAAATTGTCCTGTGTATAACAAGACAGCTTTTCTGTATTGTCTGTAGGTGGTTTTTTATTTTATTTTTATATATATATATATATATAAATAATAGAAACAAAATAAATAAAGAATATATATATATTTTTCCTTTATTATCATTTATTTTGTTTCTATTTATTTATTTAGATTTTTCCATTTACTACATAAAACAGTAACAAAGCCAGGGATGAGGAGAGAGGGAGAAAGAAAAAGGAAAATTACCCAAGAAAACCAAATTCTTCCACAATTTTACAAGTTTTCACAGCTTTATTGTTTTTACACTTAACTAAAGTTGTGCCATATTGCTTAATTTCATTTTAAAAAAGGAAAGAGTTGGGTTTACATCTTAAAACTTTTTCCTTATGAATGTGGAATTTTCCGTATACAATAAATTGCTGGATTACATAAATAATGTCCATTCTTAACACCTCATTTTTAAGATAAATAAAAACGTCAAACATTTCAATTGTCACTTTCCTTCCAATTTTCCTGCTTTTTTTTTTATTATATTGCCTCCTGCTTTTATACAGTAGCCTGCTGCCTCATGATCCTGAGATAATGTAATTGGTCCCTGTTCCTCACCCTTTGCAGATTAAACAACTCTGCTGTGCTTGTCTTTGTCCTGCTGACTTAAAAACGGTCAGGTTTTTTTTTTGCCCAAAAATCACATTTCAACCCCTGCCATAGCGTAAGCTTATCCTGCTGAGCCGTGTGTGTGTTGAGTAATGCCAGACCTTTATAAAAGCAGCCGTATCGACTTTCAGACTAGCACACTGAAACCATGGAGGAAAACATGCCCCCCCCCCCCACCTCGCTCCGGATATCATAGGGCTTTAAGCTGCTGCTGGGTGTAACCAGCACATGGCTTCCAGATTCCTGCCTGTGCCAGTGACTCGCAGAAGCGCATGGTGTGATGTTCTGAGTCCAACTAGAATTGCTTCAATTTCTACTATCCTTGTGTATACATGTTGCTATACGTCCTCCATGTAAAATGCAGAAATGTACCAGAGTCCCCCCATAATGCGGACTCCCTTCTGAGGGTCCTGCTTCGTCCAGTGCCGTCTCTAATGGGCTGTAACTGCTTACATTCACCCTCCCTTTGTACAATATCACTCCTCAGTAATTTGATTCAGTGCAATGATCTGCTCTGTGCAACATGCAAACATCATTATGAAATAATAAGGGAATTGTCATTTTGTCTTTTCAGTTGCTCAGTAAGGGGGTCAAAGGTTTCATGTTCTTTTATTCCATTGGGGAGTGGTGGTTGGTGGGCAGAAAGATACAATACACAGAAACTACTGGCTAAGTGTGTTTATGTTGGTGCTCTACAAATTGTGGCCTTTTTCCTTCTCCCTGGGGAAATATGCAAACTCAGTCTGTACCTAAAGAAATCTGCGCTCAGATCAGTGTTTACAGTGTGCGCTTCAAGCTTCAGCTGCAGCATGAGGAGAAAGCAGAAGGGACATTGTGTTGATCAGCATATAAATGTGAAAACCAATTCAATGGGATAATTCTAATATATTAGCTGTGACACACAGAGCTACACACCTGCAGATGGCCACAGTGGGCTGCCTTACTCCTTTTTTAAAAGAATACAATAGAATTAAATACATGTGCATGCACACATTTGTGTGACAGAACAATACAACATACCAAACGTAATGCAATTTGTATATGTGATTTTAATATGAATTTCCACCACATAAATAGGTAGGTTTCCTAGCACAGGGATGCTGTGCACTGTTTCATACTGACGTTACAACCAAACCAAAGGGCTCCTGTCTCGCTGTTATTAGCTTCAGCTGCCATGACGTCCAGCCTTTGAAAGCTTTACTTCATCCCCTCCCAGGCAGTGTCTCAGCTGCTGTGCATAAAGCACACAGGAGGAAATGAGCATTTGCCAAGTGCAGTTGAGCCCTCTTTACAGTCTTCGACATACAGGTTGATGTAGCAACATCATGCTGCTCGACTGTTTTCATGATGCAAATCAGATTCCCTTTTATTAGGCTCAGTGACAGTCGGCTCCACGTGCAGGGTCAGATCTACAGGCGTGTCAAACTCAAATTGGGCTGTGATTCCTGCCCCTTGGTGGGGCTCTGAAACCAAACTTTGGCTTTAATATGCTGTTAAGGGTCTGAATGATATATATATATATATATATTTTTTTTTGGGGGGGGGGAATGATTATTAGAAAGTGTTTCACCATTCCTTTCTATTAACCTGAACCAATTTCAAAAGCACTTAGCACTTACAATAATTTGTCCCTGACTCAGTGCTGCCACATGCTGTCAATACTGAGAAACTGCAGGCAACCGTATGCTCCATGCACTAACAATAGTGTTTAGCACAATGTCATATGTCTAAGTGTTTTATTCACCCCCGGTGTGATGCATCTTCTGCCTGGCTGTTAGGTACAGTGTTGTGTAGCAGACGTCTTTTGTAATGCATTTATCTAGCTCCCCTCTAGTAAAAGGTCTGTCAATAAATACTCTTAAAGTCTGAGCATGTGACCCTTTCATCTGGCAGACAGAGTCAGGAGAGAGCAAATATGTGTGATTAAAGGACGAACAGACTGCTTTGTGGGACAGACTGTCTGGTTTATTGAGGAATGAACGATCCTCAGTCCCTTTTTAATTGGCAGTGCCCAACATCATTCTGTGGTAGCAAACAGAAGTACAAGCTAAAGGACCCGCAGGAAGGCCAAAGGCCACTGCCAGACACAGACCCGCTCTCACTGTGTACCACTGCCAGACACAGACCCGCTCTCACTGTGTACCACTGCCAGNCACAGACCCGCTCTCACTGTGTACCACTGCCAGACACAGACCCGCTCTCACTGTGTACGTGTTTTCGGGTGTTTGCAGAGCAAGCGGGACCACTTACTGATGAACGTGAAGTGGTACTACAGGCAGTCAGAGGTGCCAGACTCTGTCTACCAGCACCTGGTGCAGGATCGCAACAACGAGAATGGTGAGGTGGCGCTGAGTGGGCGTGTGGCTGGGAGGGTGGGCTGCTCTGATTTACAAGCGGGGTTACACCCCCCCCCCCAGCTGAGTGCATAGGCACAGAGGGGAAAAGGCTCACCTAATAACATAAACAAGCACGTAGGATTGTGCTTTAGCCGTCCATGTGGATTCATACATCTCTGACTCCTGATCTACTGTAATGCAATGGAGGTGACAATCTGTGACACACCAGAATTCAAAAATGAATTAATACCAAAGGTAACATCACTTTAGATCAGTATAAAAACACTAGTTCTGTTTACTTGTATAGGTCTCCAGCAGGTTGTCAGCTTATTTTTCAGCAGCACACAGATGCATGTGTTGATGTGCGCCTGCATGTTATCTTGAGTACATACTGGTGTGTATGAGTATATTAGTATTCGTATAGTCCAAAGTTAGCACTTAATCCATGTGAGTGAGTATAGCGAGATTGTTGGCTGGTCAGTGTGTTAATGTATTATGGTGGATTAGCATGTGTGTAACTCCAGCTACTTGCTCTGTTTGCTGTAGACTCTGGACGGGAGCTGGTCATTACAGACCCTGTTGTGAAGAGTCGGGAGCTCTTCATCTCTGACTACGTGGACACCTACCATGCTGCTGCCCTCAGGTAACACAGTCCAGCTAAATCGTCTGGTCTGGTTTGTGCCACAGACACCGTACCTTCTTATTCAGCACCTTTTCTTTGTAGGAATTAAGACTTCAGGCACTACAGCTTGCATTAAGATTTTAAACTGAGGATATAAGACATTTCTCAGTTTTCCTGAAAAACAAAAAGTACAACAAGCAGTACACAGGACTTCATTACTTTACACATTGAACATTTTTGAAAGCAAATTTAACCAGTATTAAGAGGCTGGTCTATGCGCCGTGGGGATGTTGTATATCTGTGACTTTCACATACCTTTTACTGAGTGGAATGATGGAAGGTACAGATGCTCTGCGTTTAATGGCACAGTTGGAGACACAGATACAGGGGGGTGGTGGGGTTCGTGCAAAGTGTCTCAGTTTGACTCCCTTTATTACTTTATTACTGTTGTGCCCTTGATATGGGGTAACTTGTGGAAATTTCTGTGACGTTACATGTTTTAGGATGGAAATATCACTCATGAGCAAAGGAGTAGTGTAGTCTGTCACCCAGTTACCGGCCAGCACACGACGTTGCCCCATTAAAATAAGCATCCATAAAGATATATATAGAGTATTTGTCTGTACACATGATAATTTGTCGTTTTTTTTCTTCTTCCAGAGGGAAATGTAATATCACCCACTTTTCTGATATTTTTGCTGCAAGGGAGTTTAGAGCCCACATAGACTCCTTCTTCTATATCTTGGGTTACAACCCAGAGACAAGGTAAGGCTATTTCCATGCATCCTCCTATAGCTGTAACTGCACTCCAGATCAGTTTCCCATACTTGTTTTTAGAGGTTTAGAAGATAACTGCCTCCTAAGAATTTACACAAGCTCAGCAACACAATAATTAGTTTGCAGCTTAGGGTGTATTCCTGTACAATAGAACAGATCAGACAAAACCATCAGAAATTCAAAATTCATTAAAAAAAAAAATAAAATAATTTGCCTGGAGGTTGGGCTCCCCCTTTGATTCTGGTTCCTTCCAAGGTTTCTTCCTTCTAGGGAGTTTTTCCTTGCCACTGTTGCCTCAGGCTTGCTCACTGGGAGCATTGGGCAGGGATAATGTAAAGTGCTTTGAGACAATGTAATGTGAAATTGCGCAATACAAATGAAACTGAATTGAACTGAAAAAAATGTTGCACTCCCTGGGTGGCAGATTAAATGGGATATGAGAGGAATTGACACTGTAGCATAGCATCCTTCGTGTGTTTTTCTTCAGTTGTTACAGCATTAGTCTACTGGTATCCCATTTTAAAAACAGAAAGCATTGTATTAAGAGATGTATTAGCAGCAGGGGCAAAGACGGAATGTGACACTGCCACTCCATGGTTCTTTTGGTGCTTGTGAGATGCAGGAATTGTCATCAGGGTAGGACGAGTAGAGTAACCACTCGACACAGTGCCATGCAGGAATTGTCATCAGGGTAGGGCGAGTAGAGTAACCACTCGACACAGTGCCATGCAGGAATTGTCATCAGGGTAGGGCCAGTAGAGCAACCACTCGAAACAGTGCCACATGCCATCTGTGAAGCACTACTGGAGCAACACACTCTGTAGGGCTGCCATTAACAACTATTTTTCTATAGATTAATCTGTCAACTGTTTTATCAATTGGTCAATTAATCTAAGCGATTAATTGTCCTCCAGAAAATCTTATCAATCAACTAATTAATCAACTATTTTATTTTCACAACAACAAACCGTATGTCATTGCAGGGTTTAGATAATGTACACTTTTTGGCACTATATGAACATTATTTTCGCCCACAATTCAATAAGCAAAATAGTCGTATGCCTAAAAGTATTAATGAGATGCATATTGTGATGCCCAAAAGGTAGTAGTCTGTGTAAATCTGCCGTATCCTCATGCTTAGATTTGGTTAGTGGAGCACGTCACATGCGACACAAGCGGTAAGCACTGAGGTCGTGGTGAAGGAAGGGACAGATCAGCAGCCACAACATCTTTTGCACATTTTGCACAGGAGGAGGAGATACTGTGTTTAAACAACGTAGAAAGATGTCGGTTGTGTGGCAGAACTGTTTGCAGATTAAAATCCAACACGTTTTTTTTTTTTTTGTTAATATGGCTTTCGTTTTTATTTCAGTTCACTAATTATTTTCTTTTATTTAGAGTCCATTTTCATTTCATTTTTAGTCTACGATAACTACACTGGTTGCAACAAGCCAAACACGCACGGACACACACTGGCACCTTCAATCAATGTAGAATAAGCCCAGATTTTAGCCTAAACATTTTCACAAACACTTATTCAATGGAAATTCTAAGGTAGCAAGGTTGGCTTTAATAATGATTGTATTTAACAGCTACAAGGACAACATGTATTAAAAAGCTCTCCATTCTAATGCTAATACAATAGACATGAATAGACAGCACTTAGTGCTTTTGCGTCCATCGTCCAGAACAGCTCCTGTGCATTTTCTCTTCAGGTGCTCATGCATAGTGCTGGTGCAGCCATGGTGCCCTATCGCACTTTACACAGTGTAAAACCACCTTCTTGTTTTGTGATAATTTGAACTACTCGCATAATTACATGGTGATATTAAAGGGAAACATTTGTTATAATGAATGAAAGCGTTTTAGAAATGATAATGGTGATTTTATCAAAATAATTTAAAAATATGCAGTGATTTAAAATATTGATGTTCACCCATTTTCAGCGTTGCCGTCATCAATTATGTCAACAAACTGCAGCAGTCTGACCTCTCTGTACATGCTAAAATACCTCCAAATACATGCATTACTAAGCAGTGGTGACAGGCATAGGGTCTGACCAGTCAAATGAGATGGCTTACCATGCCTTGCCTGATCAATTAGAGCTGCCTATTGCCATGCAGTGGCTTGATGAAAACTGCCAACTTCATAATGAATGAGTTTCCAAAGATTTGATGTCATAGAATCACCAGATTCTTCCGACCTTCTCAGCTTCTGATGCAGTGATAAGTATTCTGCACAAAACCAGAAACAATTATTACATCACAGCATGTAGCCCAACTTCTTTGTAGTCTACTTCTACAGAGAAGTGTTTTGTAAAATCATTTTAAATTTTAAATACTTGTGAAATAGGAATAATCAATATGTTCTTGTTAGTAATTCTCACTGTGGTACCTGTTAAATCCAGTGGCAAATGGTCTCTCAGGCAGACAGAATAAAGACTTCCAACCATAGTACATTTTCTGTTTAGTAATACATAGTCGATTATGGGGTGGCATGGTGGCGCAGTAGTTATCACTGTTATCTCACACCTTTGGAAGCCAGGCTTAATGGGATATCCTCCAGGTTCTCTGGTTTGTCCCCACAGTCCAAAAACATACAAAAGTTTTGTCCATAGGTGCGTGTGGCCCCCTGGGTTATTCTCAGCCTTGCACCCATAGCGTCTGGGATAGGCTCCGAACTTCACCACCCTGCTGCACAGCTACTTTACGTTAAAGAGATCAGTATATTTCATGATTATACCTGTTTTTATAAACCCATCCCTCATCCTGTTATAACCACTTATCTAACTATTGGGTCATGGTGAGTGTGCAGCCTAAGCCTGCATGATATTGGCAAATTTTCACATATTGCAATGTGAATTTTTTGCAATAAATATTATTTATAAAGCAACAAAAAGAGTTAAAAATTTACCCAAACTAAAGTACAGCCAATCAAGAACTTATCTCCCAGTAGAGTCTGTCACATAAGTTGGTGGTGTTCCTGAGAGTTGTCAACACAAAACAGTGCCGACAAATCACCAGCTTTTGTTCAATATCGTCTCTGTGGAATACAGAATATTTCCATACAGCAGAAGATGAATGCCTTTTTGTGACCAACTCTTGTTCTCTCTTTTATCTTTCACTCATTTTTGTTAAATTTCTCACAAATTCGCCACATGGTCTATGAGTGAGTCCCAAGATGAGTGTCTCAGAGAAAGCATATAGAGCTCATGCAAAAGCATAGGTGGTAAACTTTAGATACATACTTTTTTTACATAATAGATATTTAAATGGGAATTATTACAAGTGCAGCTCTTGCTAAATTTTACTTTCTATGACAGTTCTTTAGCAAAACTTGTAGGTCTCCATTTGATGAAGTTTTTTCATGGGCAATTCCCCCCCCTTCATTGGTTCTTATCATGCAGACACAGCCAAAATTTCAAAATACTGGAATAGCTTTTGAAAATACCATAAAATATACTATGTTAATGTCTGGAGATTAGCCCCAAGACTAATCTCAACCCAAGTGACTCATGGTAATTGCAAGGTGACAGTTGCATGTGCATAACATGTGATGTCGATTTTAAAATCGCAGATCCTGCAGGCCTACTAAAGCCTATCACACAGCATGAGGCAGGTGATTTGGACGTTTGTAGCCGTAATCCTTCCCATATCAGAATCACTTTCATTCACCAAGTAGATTGACAGGGATGTACAAAGTACTTGTCTGGGCAAATGTATTACAAATCAAAAAACATACAGGTGTACTAACTGTGCACAGTTAGGGGCATATGAATTGAATGGGAACTATACAGAAAATTGCTGTGTAGAGGCTGCAGAAGTATACATCTGTGCAGGCAATTGCAGAACTTCCTGATATGAAAATGTGCAAGTATAGAGTCAAGTGTCAAAGAAAGGATAAGTGGTTATGTGGTCTGAGTACCAGGGGAAGGCAAATGAAGTACAAGGTGTGGATTCAAGCCTAGGAGTAAGGGGTAGAGGGAGGATCTGTTTATCATAGCTGTAGTTTGGGGAAAGATTAGGTCCTGTGTGTGTGTGTGTGTGTGTGTATATATATATATATACACAAACTGTATAATGTGTAAATTAAAAAAAATGCACGTTTCATTACACTGTTTGTCTTTATGAAGCAAACTGCTAATTTGCCAGTTAAGAAAAACATCTTGTATGCAGAATGAACTTAAGAGACATCAGTAATGCTGAAACTCCATGGGTTCTGCGGAACAATAATGGGAAAAGCTGTATATTTTCAAGTGAAAAAGAACCAGATTCTCTCAGTTGGACTCAAATCATTTTGTGTCCAATTGTAAAAATGTGCAGAGGAAAATGAGTATATAGTTTTGAATTTACCTGGTTCAACGTATTGAATGAACGGATAGTTGCAGTAGATTTCCTGGAAATTTTAATCTTTAAGTAAAGATATTTAATGTCAAAAGATGCCATACATCTATCTCAGTGTGTAGTGAAACGCTGGAAAATATGCCATAAATCCGTGAGAGAAATGGAAAATGAGAAATCCCGAAGGATTAGTTTATGTTGGATAGTGTGAATTATGTCAGAGGATGCTTGAGAGGCGCGGGGGGAGGGGGTTAGCGTGTCTGTGGTTCAGGTTCCCCGTCCGCTCTCTCCATCTCGCGCACTTGTCTGGCATATCGAGCGACCGTAGAAAGCGGCGCTAGCCGGCCTTGTTTACACAGTACCCAGCGGAGAGGCGGACCGCGCGCGCTCCCACTCTTCCCGTGCGCAAGGTCGCGGCACATGCTCAGTTGTCTGTCGGAACGGGAACTTTGCGCCGTGCGCGTGGAGCCTGAGGTCACAGCACAAGCTCAGTGAAAAATCTCCGGAGAGGCTGCACGCGCCTCCATTTTGAGCGCTTTACAAATAGGTGAGGAAGGGGGCGAGTGCATTCCGGCCACATCGACGACACGCAGTGTCAACTTTAAAACGGCAGTGCTTCCTTTCCGACATGGACGACCTGTTCAATCCGAGGAGGTAGGTTTATGCTTTTGCGCTCACCTGTTAAGAAATGAGGTAATCGCACCGTTTTCCCTGTCTCCGATCTTTGCTGCTCGTTGCAGTATATTCAGTTTGATATGTTAAATTATTCAGCGTTTTGTTGCATGTCATTTACGGTTACGCCTGCTGTTGCTTGCGTGCTAGATAGCCATCATCAGAAAACTAACGAACAATTACTGTAACTGGTTAGCGTCACAGCTATTTCAGCGAGGCTAGCAAATAGTAGCGTTTTGCCGTATATGTATTAACGGTGGCTATGCATAACCTTGCATTTCTCTACAGCTGTCAGCGTTTTTGTTTGCCAGACTTTACCTTCGTCGTCTGTTTTAAGATAAATGAAACTGGTCGGTGTTGGACTCCATTTTGCAGTACTTGATATTCTGTTGTTTACAGTCGCGGTGACATGGCGCAGGCAGACGCTATGCAGACTGGTTCTCACTGAAGTCTTGAATTCGCAATTGTCCGAACCGTAGCTTGGAGGAAATCTTCCGCTAACTCGTATTTCTATTAATGAGAATCTGGGCCTGTCCCTCCGTTTAGGTAGGTAATGTTTGGCCTTATTATTAGTCGTGAAATGATTGGACGGCACTGATGGAAGGGGCGGGAGAATCTTGATTGGAGTCCCTGTTGGATATTTCCGATGCTTGTTACGCTTGCCGTTGTTTTAATCAGGTTAGTGCCCGATGTTAGGTATTGGAAGGTTAGGTGTTGTTGTTGTTATTAAATTTTGAATTTTGTATTATTTTGAATAATTTTAATTATACATTTTATAAACCACCGTCATCTTTACCCTTGTAGACAATAATGCATGGTTTTACACCGCTCGTATTAATATTGAATAATGACTGCAGATATTTCCAGAAATTAAGTAGGTCAGTGAACACAAAAATTCACACTTTAGTGATTATTCCTGCTATCATGTTATTAATCTCTTCTGGTATTATGTGGTAGTTACATAAAGCAAATAATGTAAAGTATCCTATAGAGAGATGAGTGCAATGAAGCACAATTCTCATGAACTGTATGGTGTTTAATCAAAAATACCTGATTATAAATGTCATATTGAAAATTACTATTTAACTTAATCATTATGAGTGCATGCATATTTAAATAAAACCAACCAAGATCTTGTATTTAAAAAGTTTTTATTGCAAGTTTCAAATCCAATATTTTTTCCTGTGTTGGGGGAATTGGATGAACTGATACAGGTATAAGAAAACAGGAGGCTGAATAATGTGCTCTGAAGACTATGCTAGTCAAAACTCTTTTCTCCATTTAATTTGTCATTATTGGTAAAATGAATACAACCGCCATCACTTCATTTATACAGAGGTTGTTGATGTTTTTGTTGCTGGAGTAATTTCTCTGTTTTTTGTCTGCAGTGATGCTTGTACATTTGAGTACTATGGAGTAAATGACAAGAAACATAAAATTGCAGTTTCCTATCTATGATGGAAGACAGTCCATCCAGAAATTATTTTATTGACAATAGGCTTCTTTTATTCCCTTGGTATGAGTATATATTACAGTGCAGAAAAATGTAAGCTTTGCCGTGAACTTCAGCATTTTGCTAGTGCTACTTCAGTTAGCTGACTGGTGTGCCAGTCTCTCCTAAAGCTCTGAGCACTGGACTTCTCTTCTCCATAAGGACAGCCATGCTTTGCTGCAGGCTGTTTCTCTGGGTGGGATCACAGTGACAGTTTCTGGGCTGCTTTATGCCTGCCTGCATGAAAACCTTCAGTGTTGTCATGGCAACACGGGTTGTTTTCTGTGGAAACCTCTTGTCATTTTCTTTAATCCACTGCAGCTGGAGATCGGAACACTATTATTAAATTTGTTGTTGCTATGGTTACCAGAATTTGTTACTGCAATGTTTTTTCTGCCTGTTCCCTGTTTCGAATTCAGTATTCTAACTCTGCTTGATTATTATTACACTTAAATGAAAAAGAATCACTTAGTACACATTTGGACAGTATCAGTACTATGGGTTTTATTTTCCATTTAAAAATAAATTAATGTAATTAAAAGTATGGCTAGATTTCTAACAGTGATGATGAAAGTGTACCCTCTTCTGTGATTTTACATATCAGGCAATACATGACAATCATGTGTTCCTCACCACCTTCAAACATTAAAGAGATTGAACAAGAGATAAGACGGCTACTTTCTTACTGTACCATGTATTCAGCAAAAATCCAAAATTCGGAAGATTTGAGGAAAAAGGTACACCATTACTGCAATCATACAAATTAAGTGTTAGAAACTAGATGCTGATATATCAGGTCAAGTGTGACCACATCCATTGGCTACTGGCAGATAAAAATTGAATGTTTTATTTTGATATCAAATAAAGATACAAAAATTTCAGTTGTCTAATGGTCTGTTTAACAATTTTTGCATATGGCTGGGAATTTTTTTTTTCCCATATCAGCCTATCAATAATGGTCACTATACAATTCAAGTAATGTTTTCTTTACTTCAAGGTTCCATTTTCACTTAAATTTCTTTAGGATTCCCCTTAAACAGATTGAGAAATTGAATGGACTGCAAACGGTGAAATCTAATTTTAATAAATCATGCAAAAGTTTCATCATAGGGCGTAACGCTAGAAAAACGATGGCAGAACGGTTTGTGGCTGAGTTTTTTCACTGACTGCTTTGCTGCTCATTACAGGGAATGAGTTTGATATTCCGGCTAAGTTTGCCATCCATCCCCTATTGAGAAATAAATCACTGTGTCCTGTTTTGAACCAATATAGGATTTGTCCCGTATTTCTTCTGATTGAAGCATAAATAAGTTTGCATGTATTTCCAGCAATATTTTTGGTAGAACATTGAAAAGTTGCATTTCAGATATTAAAAAAAGTAAGAAAAACCCTACCTGTGTGCAAAAATCATTTAAATGTAACATTTTTGCAACGAGAATAATAAGATGAATCAGTAGCATTTTGGGTCAGTTTTCACACTTTCCTCCAATCAGTGCACTTGTCTGCTGGTACCCGCATCTATAAAAGCAGAACTTTTGGTAGTTGTATGCTCTGGAGCCTTCAGGTTTAACACTGTCAAAGAGGAAATATTGAACAGTGAAGCATTTGTTTCTGTTCATCAGTATGGAAAGGTTACATGGTCATATGTGAACAACTTGGATTTTTCCATTGTACAGTTTGGAGTATGAATGAATTAATGTTGCATTTATATAGCGCCTTTCAAATGGAGAACGTGCAGTGAATTTGCCTGTCTTATTGGGATTAGGCATCCCAGAAAATTCACCCCAAGGTCAATGTCGTACTCAGAGAAATTGCAAGTAACCCAAGAACCTTATATAAGGATCTTCAGGCCTCAGTTTACATCTTAAATGTTATGGTTTTTGATCTCAAAGACTTAAAAGGTGTGATTTTCTTGGAAGGGTAGCCGGGGGAAAAGCCTCTTCTCTCCGAAATGAACTTGGCACTTTAGGTTTGCAGAGTTGAATCTAATGAACCATTGGAACAATCCCCTATTGATATATGAAAGAGAGAGTGGAGATGTTTTGTTATAATTCAAATAAACCAAGCACTACATATCACCACAACCACCTTGTATCATCCATTTAGTGCTGCGGTGGTGGTGGTATGTTTTGGGCTTGTTTTTGTCCTCAAAGGCCCTTTAATGTCATCAACCATGAACTTTGTTATACCAGAATATTAATTTTCTAGAGCCATGAGGCCTGTCTGTCCAAGAGTCATGCAGCATTGCAAAAGTCCAAAACACAACAGGAAATCTACCACTGAAAAGCTGAAGAAGAGGCATACATTAGGGCTGGACAGCATATATAAAAAAGTACAATATAGCATATTTTTTATTTTAAAAATGGAAAGAAAAAAGAATGTCATCCAGAATGACAAGGGTTAAACCCTGCTGACTGGGACAGATGGTTGGGGTTGCGCTGATGAGTTTTAGTTAGTGATTTTTTTTTAGTTAGCTGGATTTAATTGTAATTAAAAAACATGTTGTAGTCCCATCAAAACCTATGGCAGTGGTTCATAAACTTACGATAAGTTCTATCCACGTACCACCATTATGACAATGTTTGCCTACATTGAAACCTTCACTTATTATACAAGTTAGAAAATAATGTATTAATGTATTAATTGCATCGAAGCGTGGGCTAGTATGCTGAACTATAGGTAAGAGTTCAGCAGTGGGAACAGGGCATATTCAAGCAGTAGTGCACAGGATGGGGCTGTCAGAGTGGATGTGGGGTAACAAACTTATGTTCAGTAAAAATTCACGATAGTTTCCCATAAAAGGAAGTCTTTATTGTGGACTGGAGTTACAGAAACATCAGAAGTAGGTGTGTGACAAGTCTTTTTTTTTGTAGCCTGTTCAATTACTATGTTAGTTACTTCAGAAGTATCGCTTTAATGCTTTGTATGCTTAAATCAATTTGTGCATCCGCCTGTTTGAAAATGGTGGTGTCAGGCTGACTTGAAACAGGTAATCATTCGTTTTTTCACATTCCAATCTCAACATAAATGTCACTGGAAAGCATGCACTTAAAACGTGCTCCAAGATGCTATAATTTGTTATAATACATTTATTATACAGTGTTGTATTTTTTTTTTTGTCATATTTAGTAGGGATTTAATGATACACTCAACTCGCGATTCGATACGATTCATGATGCAGAGTTCACGATACGATTTTCTCATGATTTAACAGAATGAGCTGCAGACAAATTTATTTAAAAATATTCATTTATCTTTTTAAACTGTGCAAAACTTGTCCTCTTAACAGTGCAACTGAAATTGAATAAAATACTGAAAAAATCCCAAATTAAAAAGTAAATAAAAAAAATCTTCAAATAAATAAACTAAGGCTTGCATGTGCAGCTTTTAATAATCTTCGCTCTGGCTGTGGTGAATTGAGCTCACTGTGGTGCCGGTGGACATGCTGAAGCATGTTCGTTGTGCTATTTGTGTATGTTATCAGTCTTTTACAATGTTTGCACGCAGTTTTTGTCTTGTCTGTGCTTTTCTCGCTGTTTTCGTTTGTGATTACCTAAAATGCTAAAATGCTGTCACACCGCCGATTTAATATCGGGCAGTCCGTCCATCCATCCATTTTCTGAAACCGCTTAATCCCAACTGGGGTTGCAGGGGGACTGGAGCCTATCCCGGGAACAATGGCCACAGGCGGGAACCGACCCTGGACAGGGGCCAACACACCACAGGGCCAATTTAGTCAGTGACATCTGACGTTGAACTGACAACGTGAAATCAAATGTAATATTACACCAGTTTTTCTGTTAAGTAAAGTACCATGAAGTACTCCTGAAGTAGCGATTCATTTTCCACATCAGCCGGTTTAAATCGTCATACATTTACATCGATTTTTAACCGATTCATGATTCGTTGTTACATGCCTAATATTTAGACCCACGATTACTCAAACTATCAACAGAGTCTGTCACATAAGTTATTGGTATTGCCATTGAGTTGTCAACAGATACAAAGCTGAAAAATCACTTGGTTTTGCTCAATATTGTCACTAAAGAATTATTACAAAATAATTATGTATGGCGGATATCTTTTCGTGACCAGTTCTTGTTCGCTCCTCTCCAGTCATTTTTGTTCAATTTCTCACAAACATGTGACACCTAATCTATGAATCAGTCCAACAGCAAGGGGAAAAATGATATGATTGTCTTGGAGATCGCATTCAATGCTCATGACAAAGGAATCAGCGGTAAACTTCAGACTGATTTTTTTAAGCCTATACTAGATAGTGCTGAAACAGAAATATCATTAAAATTTGCTAAGCTTGCTAAGTCTGGGTTCCTATGACTAAGAAGACAGATTTTAACACAGTTTATGGATGGTTTGAACTTAGCAGACTATCGGAGTCCTTGCAGTGTGATTATTGCATGTGCATGTGTTGCCATTCTGATATTAACATTGCACACCATGCAAGCCTAGCAGTACAGTGGCGCACTAGATAGTGCAGTTGCCACACCCCTCTGATTTGTGTGTGGAGTTCACATGTTCATCCTGTGTGTGTCTGCCTTTTCAGCGAATCCTTATACTGTCCAAAAACATTAAACTCAAGTGAATTGGAGTGACTAAAATGATGTTATGCGTGTCTGAGTTCACACCCTGCAATGTTTGGTTGGTTCCTACCTCGTGCAAATTGCATGCTATATTATATTATATGCAAATGATTACTTGATGAATCATCTGATTAATAGGTAAATTACTCAATTATTGATATAATCGATAGTGACAGCCCTAGTCATGTTATGACCAGCCAATTGTTCAATTAAAAAAAAAAATGAATCAAAACCTGTATTTATAGATTTACTTTATTTTGAGTCGGCTAAAACTTGAATGTCATTGATACATTCATTAAATAAAAATTCCACATGTGGTGTCTTTAATGACTGAAAATTCCTACTGACAAACTCATTGAAAAATAGCATATAGCTGCCTGATATGTGAATTTGGGAATGGGTGGAAGCAATTAAAATATTGGTGGGAGCGTGCTGGATCTTATCTGCACAGCTCTAGACTGAAGTGAAAGCCAAATCATAACACTTTCTTTCTTTGTGTGTAGCCTAAGTCTGCTTTCCCGACAAAAGCGGTAATCGCTGGTTAGTCACTAGATGTATCGTTGGTTACCGATAATGCCGTCTTATTGCCCACCCCTACTGTGCATAAATAAATACCCACGAAATGAACTGAAGCAGTCTTGTAATTAAGGTGGTCAGCTTTCCCCCATAACAATATAAGAGACCCATACAGGCACTCCTACATAAATAGGCAGCGTGTGGCTCAGTGGGCTAAGCCTCTGCCATGTGATCTGAAGGTCACTGGTTCAAGCCTGGCCTCAGTGTGTCCGTGGGCTCTTGAGCAAAGCCCTCTACCCCCAGCGCCCTGGGCACTACAACAGGCAGCTGCCCTTCACGGCCAAGCTTACTCATGGAGAGCAGGATGGAGGAGGTGAAAAGGGAATCAATAAAATCAAAAAGTGGGAACAATAAAATATGGCTTATTGTTATCATTGTTTTTATTATTATTGACTCCTTCACTACTGCTGCAAAAGTTGTGTAAATAATACGTATCACTGTATTTGTACTCCTTGTCCAGGAAATACATGTGATTTTTGGACCAGTCCACCGCCGCTGCAGACCCTTGTTAACACTATCTCAAAAAGTTTTTGACAGATTAGTTACAGATATTGTATGGATGAAGATTTGGAAGTAGTAGTTTGATAGTTCATTTTCAAAAAATATATGATGACACCTTATACCAGAGGTTGTTTTGACACAAACTGCATCAAAATTGAGACAGCAGAACTAGATGGCAGCAAAAGGGAAAAAGAATGCAAACTATAGACACTTGTGAACACAATAACACTAAAAGTATGACTTCCCCCCCCCCCCCAATTTCTCATAAACATCATATATGTGGTGGTCTAGGACCTGTTTTATTTTGAGAAAAACTGCACCAGATCGTAGCAGTGCCACATGGTGACTTCAAAGAGAAGGGCAACCTCAGATGCAGATCTGGTGAGATTAGATTGAGACAAGTCACACTAAGATGGGCTTTTTGGAGAGGTTGGGAGAGTGTGTAAGGGGCTAGAGACTGTAGACACTGGATGTTTGGATCGAGGGGTACCTGCAATACATCGTTGTTCTGACTTCATCTAATTGTCTGTATTTAGGGTATATTTCTAATAAAAATATGTTTGTTATATATAATCACTGGTATCTACATTTAGTGAGTTAACTGGAGATCAGGACTACTCCGTGGTGTTGCACAGGATTCTGGTACTGAAATGGTACCACAGTACCGTATTTTTGAAAGCTCTTTGGCATTACATTTCTTTAGTATTGGTACTAATTACACTATTACAGACATTGATAATGCTATGTATTGCTAATGCTAATGAACTCAACATGTCCAAACCACTGCCGAAACTCAGTTATAACCGATGTCAGAATTGCATGCGTCATGCTGTATAGCAGTGATTCTCAACCCGTGGGTTGTGACCCAAAGTTCTGAAAAGGTCTTGAGGTACAATTGGAAATATATAAGCATTTTAAAACCAGCAAGCTTCTATGCTGATCCACGATCAGATTTCCTAGCCCCAATCCTAGAATTAACCTATATAAACAGGTCTTGGGTCCGCAACTGCTTAGCGCAAATCTAGTGAACGCTCAATCATGCCAAGAAGCCAAACCACAGATGCTAAATTTAAAATTCACCGGAACCTCCAGTCACATTTGTGCAATAGGCATTGATTGGTGTAAATTGCAGCATGTACTGCACACTTGATCATAGCATTTATCTATACTTTGATAAAATTTGATAAAGGGTCACGACTCTGCTGGCATGGTAGAAATTGGGTCATGGTGTAAAAAAGAACCACTCAAAGTGCTCTGTATAAAAAGATGTGAGGCTACTAAAATATCAGCTAGGTAAATATGATCTCCCTAGGTTTAAGTCAGTGATAATTGTAAGGGATCTTATAATAGAGCAAGATAATATATCAGCCTCCGCCCCTCTTGCATGCATTTTAAATAACGATACAGTGGAAGTGCACAACAGTCGGAGGCGTATATACCCTTTATCGTTCTCCATGTAAGTGAACAAATTTGAGGGATCAATACGATGCTTAGCAGTATTAGGGTATGTGCTCTTGTGGAGTTTATTAAAATTGAGTAACAATCTAAATGCGTTTGAGAAAATCGGTGACATAAGTTCGTAATTTACCATGAACGATACTTTCATGTATCAACTTTTAAGTGGTTAGCTTTAACTTGAACTGTGTGTTTGTATTGTCTTTAGAATGGTTAGGCCTACTGTATTTTATGGGATGACTGTGTTGAAGGTCATGTTAAGCTGTGTGTTGATGCAACTGCCTGTTTTTCAGGCGCTTGAACAGCACACAAGGGGAGATTCGAGTCGGCCCTAGTCACCAGGTAGGTCAGCCATTGTACTGTCCCTCTCCTTTGATATGTAGGCAATTTAATTAAATTGCAAATATATACATTTAAGGAATTTTTGTACTTGGGCTTATTATTTCTTAAAGTGTTTCACACTGGTGCCATTAGCTGTGATTTTATTCACGTTTTGTGCAAATTCTACACAAATTTCCCATAATTTGATAAAGTTAAATTACGACTAGGGTGTCTTTCCACTAATAGATATCATGCAAATAATACTTAACATTTATCAGTGCCATAGTGACGATAAAGAGAAGGGCTGCCTGAGACATTAGCGCAATAACTCAAAGTATTTGACAGATTGTTTCAAACTTTACAGACATTGTATAATTGTAGATCTGAATTTCACCAGAATTGAAGCAATACTGCTTCAAAGGGAAGGGTGACTGCAGAAAACATTTAAACTTGACGAATGTGATAACTCTAAAAGTATTTAATGGATCTTATTACCACTTCACAAAAATATTATATGGATGAAGATCTACACCTGAGTTTATGTTGAGACAGTTTGCACCAACATAGAAGCCACACAGCATAGTGATGTCACAGAGAAGGACAGCAAGAGATGTAGATTTGGTGAACCTGATTGCACTGAGAGTCACACAAATTTGGACTGTTAATAAAAATTCATTTGGAGTGGTGGGGAGAGGGTGTAGGGGGCCTAGAGATTGTAGCGGTTGGGGGGTCTATGGTGGAGTAGGGATTTGATTGGGTGATGGTGAGGGATTTGTAATCTGTTAGTGAAGTTGTTATGGTGTTTGACTTTTATAACTAGGTGCAATTTGGGCCTCGTTATAAAATTTATTAATGCCGCCATCTTAATATTAAAACAAGCTTAATGAATGTTCGAGTAGCAATTCTCATTTAGCATAAAAACGATTAGTTTTATTGATGGGATGTGTGCCAGTACAGTAAATACACTTCAAGGAACAGAACAGTAAACAGTAGAAAGTGACTTCAAAGGTGCAGCGTGGTAAGAGGCCCTGACCCTGATTCTCTTTCGTTCCTTCAGGCCAAGCTGCCTGAGCTGCAGCCATTTCCTTCCCCAGGCGGGCAGGTAGTGACTGAGAATGAGGAGTTGGTGTGGATGCCCGGGGTCAACGACTGTGACCTGCTGATGTACCTGCGGGCCGCCAGGTGTGTGGCCACACCCATAACCTGTGATGGGAGCCATTGATTTGCTCTCATCCCCTGTGTTGATGCGTTAGTGTCGATCCTTTGCCCCCTCTGTGTGCCTGACATCCAGAGAGGTCTGACATGCTGCTCTTTTTGCTCAGGAGTATGGCGGCATTTGCTGGCATGTGTGATGGAGGCTCGACAGAGGATGGCTGTCTGGCTGCTTCACGAGACGACACAACACTAAATGCATTAAACACTGTAAGTTTCCATCTTACTGGTCTACTTACCTGTTGTTTTGCAGTTTTTTCCCCCCCAATTTATTGTATTTATTAAATTTTTTTATTTTTCCAAACTTGCGATACAATGAGGAAACTAAAGCTATGGGTGTCTGTTAGGTGTCTGAGAGTGTCTGCTCTTATCCGCCTTAGGACGACCCACTTCCTCATTACTTATTTTGCACCTTTAGGGAACATAAATTATCAGCTTTTTAAAAACCTTTTTTACCGAACCAAAGCATACTGAGCCACAACAGGAACTATATATTCGCATAATAATTCTCAGCCTTGCCACGGATTTATTGTTAATTGTAGTGAGCAGCAGAAGAGTAGAAATGACTGCTGAAGCGTAACAAACGGCACGAAATGCACTAATGGAATCCTGACATTGACACTGAAGGCAGTTGTATACATAGGCGTAATGTGGCACACGCTCCGTGAATGTCTGGCCTGCAGGGTGTCTACTACAGCTTCTGATGGCCTGTTGGAGTCAGTACTCAGATGGCTGGACTCTTGAGTGCTGTTAAAGCTGAATAAATACCCTATTTCTGCCCTGCCCTAGGGTCAGTTTTTATCGTATTTTTAATTGGGCCAATGTATTTTTTGTTTTTTAAAAAATGCTATTTTTATAAACACACCATGAACCCTGGTTATTTGTGTGTCATTTATTTCTGCGTATTTTCTCTGTACTTAAGAGACTGTTGTAAACAAACCTGCTCATGTCCACACACACGCGCACGCACAATGAATCGTTCGTTCTCACTGGGCAGGAAGCAGCACCACATATAGTGCTCTGTGGTTAGTTTACCCTTCAAATGATCTATTTATTAAATGTTATATTGTTTACCACTGTGGCTGACTACCTTTCATCTCAGTGGTGCAGCTTTCCAACTCGACATAATTCATTGGTGCCTCCCAAAGGCACCTAGTGACTGAATTTCCTGCAGGTGTGTCAGTTTTGATAGGGTGGGTGTGTGCGTGCTGTTTTCCAGCACTGCAGAGATCAATTATCTTCACTGTGTGTGTGTGTGTGTGTGTGTGTGTGTGTGTGTGTGTGTGTGTTTTGCAGTGAATAGGTGATAGCCACCATGAAAATTTGTGTGCATATTGGAAGTATTTTATTTACATAGGCTGGAACACTGTTGTGGAAAGAGAGAGGGGAAAATGGAAAGAAATGAGTTGCATAGGATGACATCGGAACGGTGCTGGAGGTGAAATGAGATTGCCAGCCCTCCACACTCCTGAGAGAGAGTAATTTTCTCCCAGATAGCTTGTGCGGGGGCTGACATTTGCATGGATATTGGTTTGGTTCGAGCCTAGGCTTCCCTCTGTTGTTTAGGTGGTTGGAGGCTCACCAGATAAGTGGGTGGTGGGCAGGTTGGTGGGGGGGCACATGAGGAAGGTCTCCCCAGGAGGGGCCGAGTACAAGCTGTTAGGCGAGGGCTGCTCTTGCTTTGTGGGCTCTGTGGAAGCTCTGATTCTGTTTCGTTAAAATTCACTCCCCCCCATAAGTTTTGTTAGCTCCCACCCAGCTCAGATGAAAATTATACTTCGTCATCTGGCAAATCTATTTCTGGAGCTGTGTGAGGTGGGCACTGGGCCCAGAAGTGGTGGCTCTTAAGGCTGCATACTCTTTCTACTGGAATTCAGTTCAGTCCTCCATGCTAATGCAGGCCCTTAATACTTGTGAGACACATTGCTAGTACAGTGTCGTGCTAAATACATGCTCTGTAGGTAGGATCACCCCCTAAAATGTAGGAATTTTAGAAAAACATGCCAATAAGTAAATTAAGGTCCTGAGTGTAACTCGAGAATAAATGTCTCATGACTCTTCACCCAGTACAAGTTGTGATGTCATTTTATTTGTTTGCTGTCTGAAATGTAAACCATCCCGAAAGGAAACACCTTCCCTAAATAAACAGATGCATGTGTTCTAACAAAAGTCCTGCAGACATCTACTTAATTTGAAACGGACCTATGACACACAGTCTGAAAAAGCATGGTAGTGCCCATCCAGGTACTGATAGTACCTATTTTTATATTGCTTCTGATCAGATGTGATAGTAGCACTGTGATTTATTAATCATGTTTTTACGAATTGCCCCTGGATCTTCTAGTTTGAGCTTTAAATATGAGTGTGTTGATTTTTCTTGTTTTCCTGCAGAATATGGAACAGTATTATATATTTTAATGAACTTGTTCACACATCAATAAACAGAAGTGAAAATGCTCATTTAGCTGACAAGGTGGTGTTTTCTGGCATCACAATGACCTGCACTGTTGTCTTATATTCTCTTTGTCTGTGCTGTACACAATCACTCTTTACCTTCGTATTCATCTTTGATGTGCTCAAGAAAAAGACAGTATGTGATGGCTGCCCTTATCCTCTCCCCCCTCCAACAGCTACACGAGAGCAAGTACGATGCTGGCAAAGCTCTGCAGCGCCTGGTCAAGAAACCCATACCGAAGCTGATTGAGAAGTGCTGGTCTGAAGATGAAGTGGTGAGAAGGGCCTGCCGCTCCGAGAGTTGTGCTTTGGGGTGACACTTTCTGCAAATTCGGTTTAAGTCCATCAAAAGTATGTTCTGCCTCTGTGCCCATGATTCAAAGGTTATCGGTTCAAGCCCGGCCTTGCCAGAATAGTCAGAATGTCTATGGGCCCTTCAGCAGGGCCCTTCAGCAAGGCCCTTAACCCCCAGCAACCTTTTGCTATGACCCCCAAGCTTTATGGAGAGCCAGATGGGAGGAAGCCCCAGCAGGAATCAAGTATCATTATACTATTCTATAATATACTAAAATAGCAGGTCACCTGTGGCTGTATCTGAGACATCAGATTCCCATGGATTATCCGTAAAGCTGTGAGGCAAGGGCTTATATCTTTGACTGTAGCTTGGAATTCTGAAACGGAGATTATATGCTCTGATCTAAGACCTTCATAGTGACCTTCTAAACAGGTTTTAGGCTGTATGATTTTGGTTTGTTATACCCACTCCTCTAGCAGTAGCATACCCCCTTCCTGCTTGTGCTATAGTCATGCATCAGTGAAATAACTAGTGCAGTGCTTTGGGAGGTCCTTCTTGCAAAGTGATAGCTTTTAATTACACTTCCTAAGCCTAGTCACACAGAATCAGTCCCCTAGGCCAAGTGGCAGCCAAATCAATTAAGTCATTCTTTCATTATCTCTATGCATTTGTACTGTCGTGCTGAAGTGTAACTGTCCTACAGCCACTTCCAACATAAACCTTAGAATTCTGCTCTCTGTTATCAAAGCCTGCAAGCGCTGGTAGTCTTCTCATTTGAAATTACGAGAGTGTGATCAGAAGACAAAGCAGAGGGAATGCCCTATGAAGGGTTGTGTTTAGAAATGCAACAAAATGATATGGCACAAAAACTAACTTGAGTGGTGAGTATGATGAGTTGGCCTAACCTGTTGTCCCCATTGTCATCCTCTTGCAATACAAATAATTCACATGCTGCCTCATGGGCCGGAAGCAGCTGTATGGTGACCCTTGACCTCTCCCAAGTGGGGTTAGAATGGCAGTGTGATGCCACCCAGTGGTAAAACATTGGTCTGGTGTGGTGTAGCCTTTCTGGCCCACAGGCTCTCATGCAGCCAATCAGTTTCAACCAATAATTAAGATATTTTTAAGACTGACTTAGGACGACGTCAGAGGTGAATGATATTGAAATGTTTGGCATTATCCATTCGCTGTACTTGCTTATGATTGTCAACCCCTGTATTTACTGCTAAAGCATCGTAATGCAAATTTGTGTGCTATCCACTACAATCACAATGCCATTTAGTATAAAGTGTAAGGCATGTTATTGAATAGCTTCTGTAATTAGTCTTTGCAGTTTAACTTAAGTAGTGTGTGTGTCCAGTTATTCTTTTTGGAAGTAAAGCAGTACTGAATCCTAGGTTATGTCTGGCAGTAAATAACCATTCAAGTATAATTTTCATATGCTTTGGAAGTGCGCACAGGTTAAATGTGCTGTTGGATCCTTTGATTATATTTTGTGACATAATTTCACATCTAGTTAAAAGGGGTTTCTCACCTTCACTTTAGTTTTCAACTGAATTAACTCATCAGTTATGTGGATTTTTTTCTCTATTTATACTTCAGTAATTCAAAGGAGGGAAAAGAAAAGCTATGTATGTTGCTGCTTGTGATGTTTTACTTGATTGGTCAGGGAGACGAGGGCACTAGTTCACTATTGTGCACAAGGGAGTGGCTGGTGAAGGCAAACACATTCTGGGATTTGTTTGCTTGTGTGCTTTATCTGGCCGGCATTATCTGCGCTTTGTTGTTGAACAGGCTTTTACGGTCTCCAGCAGCCCTGCAGCCTTTAACTATTAACTCCTGAGAGGAGCGGCTGCACAGCGGAGAGCGGCCTTTCATGTCCTCTCTGTCTCCTGCTCCCGTTATATTTCTCTGTCTCCCACCACACAATGGTGCCCTGTTAGAGAGAGAGAGAGAGAGAGAGAGAGAGAGAGGCAGGGACCTGAGCCAGCTCTCTGGAGCGCTTTCTGCCTGAAAGGAGCCTGTTGTTTCTGCAGGGCGCCTGGTGATCTGGTAACACTCCTACCCCCGCTCCCACCCCACCTCCACACCTCAGTTGTTGCCTGGCAACGGAGGGCCAGAATGGGGGTAGAGCGGGCAGGACGATTGGTGGGTGATTTATTAGCTGGGCTGGGAGCAAGGTGAGTCCAAGCAGCTGAAATGGAGCCTTTAACTGGAGCTGACATGGCGGGGGGGGGGGGGTTGCGGAAAGGAGAGTGCTCAAACAGAAATGAGCAGCCAGTGTAAATATTACTGTGCTGAAGCACAATTAAGGTTGCATAATTACAGCAGCTGAATTCAGGTGTAATTGATCACATGCCCCCCCCCCGGCCCCCCAAGCTGAAGCCCCTGTGGTGTTTGTCACAAATCTCTGCTGGGTATAGCAGTACAAATGTCAGCTCTTATTATAATTATTCTTTCAATAGCATTTGTATTTTCAGAATATCCCTCCCCCTCCGGCGTTTCATGGCCCTTTTCTGTGTTTTGTGCCACATCCACACCCCCAGGAAGCCCTTGCTGTCTCAGCCTGGCACCTCCTTGTGACTCTTATTATCCAGCGATTATTCAATGTCCCGTTATTTACCACTTAGCTCCGAAAGAGACACATTATTTCTTGGGCTGCGCTGCTCCTGTCAGTGACTAAAAGGGCCCGTGCTGTGCTCCATTGTTTTGAACCTAAAATGCAGTGTGAGGTATATTCCTTGTTAGCATTCGTCTTGCTCTAAAGAGACGAGTCGCTGCTTCCTGAAATGGCAGTGCAGTGGGAAGCGCCACCTGCTGGTCAGTGATGTGTACCCTGTGCACTTTATTTTGCTGGGAACTAAATTATGCTAAATGTCATCTTGACAAGTTTGTACCGATCCTTGGGTGTTTGTTTGTTTGTCAATGCCCTGCTTGCCATACTGTACATTTTGTTCTGCTTTGCTAGAAAACTGTTCTTCCTGCCTTGGCTTGTGTTGGATGTGGCTCCGTTGTGGTAGTTGTGGGAACTCCCCGCCCTGAAGGGCTGAGCCAGCTCGTGGGGGGGTGTCGGTGAGTGAGGGGGTGGCTGTGGCAGCAGGGTCACGCCTGTAGGCACCAGGAACTCCATGTCAGGTTTTCCTGCTCACCCAGCCCCTTTCACTCTAGCCAAGACCCTTTTTCCACACATTGTTCCAGCCTTCCTCTGGTTCTTGCACGCGCGCATGTGTTTGTGTGTGTTTGTGTGTGTGTGTGTGTGTACGTGTGTGTGTGCGTGTGTATGTCCGTGCGTACGTATGTATGTCTGTGTGTGTGTGTGTAGGCACACTCAGTATTTTTAATGAAACAAGACTCAAGGGTAGTTGTCAATTTTACAAAAATGCATCTTGAACGTTGCACTGGAAAGACCAAATAACTGATAGGTGCTGTTAAGTATGTGTTTGTGAGTGAGAATGGAGCCAGTTTCCTGCTCTGTGTAGGAGAATCTTATGTGAGGCTGCTGTGCAGTTCTGTGTGTGCATGCAAACGCACAGAGCCGACTCACTGTACAATCCAGGCCAGGGTTTCCTGCCCGCCGCTCACAGGAGCTCAGCGCACAGAAAGATCACATGTAGAGCCGTCCCCTTTGTAGTGCGGGTGCACAGCCTGACAAGCCATTCCGTGCTTGTAAAGAAGCCTCCCACCCTGCTCGGCTCTGTGGATTTGTGCCTCCAGTCTTTATTTACCGGCGTCCGGACATTTCAGATGCCTTCACCTTGGACTTGGCCACATTTTGGCAGTTTTTTGGTGGAAGCATTTTACTGAGCTTGTGAAGGACGGAGCTGCCTCAGGAACAAGAAAGTAAATCTTCTGGCTGTCTGCCTGGCTGCTTGTGTTTCGTACCTTCAGTTTTTACCCCTCGCTATGGCGTTTCGAGAAAAAGGTACTTAAAAAAACATCTGTTTTCTTTATTTGTTTACTGGGATTTATGATACTTATCTCTAATAATTTTCTTTCAGTTTTGAAAATGCAAAGTTGGCGTGCCGTTTTGCTCCTTGTTTACTGTCTTGCTCTCTCGTTCACTTCCCCTCCTCCCCTCTCTGCTTGGCCATGTCGGCACAGCTGCTTTTTAAAGCTGTCCGTGTGTTTTATTAAATCTCCCGTTTGACCCTTTTGCTCGAGTTTGTCTGAAATATGTAATCACGGGTAATATTCTGCATGCCAAAATGCTTAGATGACTTGCACATTAGAACCTATCAAAGTTATTTTTCTGACTTTGAACTTACAGGTTTTATAGCACTGAGGTTTTCATTTTTGCGGTGCTCGTTTTGAGGCAGTTGCAGCTCTATTTGCAGTCATATTGCGGCTTGGGTTTTATCAAACAATATCTTCCTGCTTCTGTTGTCATTTCCTTTTTTTGCCTCCACACACATAAGAGTTTGAACCCAATGATTTTTTTTCTTATTCTTTTCAGTAAGATTGAAAGTATCTGTTAACCTCAAGAATAATTAGAAAATAGTTGGCTGCTGTAATGCTGCTGTTTTTTTCCCCATTGTGGTAATTTGTTCTTCTTTTCATGGTGGGGTGGGCGATACAGAAGCGGTTCATTAAAGGTCTCCGCCAGTACGGCAAGAACTTCTTCAGGATCCGAAAGGAGCTGCTACCCAACAAGGAAACGGTAAGACAATTACAGCTTTTCCCTAAACGGATCTAATGCACAGGGACCCATAAGCACTGATAGTGGCTTTTATGCATCTGCTCCTCATTCTTATAAGTGACTGAATGATTTGCACAGTTATGCTGCATTTCAAAACTTCAGTTTGCAGTTATTTATTGAAATATTTGGTCTATTTATTCAAATGTTATACATCTAAATAAAACAAATCTGTATTTAATATTTTGATTTAGAGGTGGTTGTCGGCTGTATGTTTAGACACTCTTGTTCTGGGCTTAAAGAATCGCTGGGAAAAATTTTTTGTTTTTACAAAATGGTCATGTATATTACTTTTTCATATTGCTCTTTTTGCTCTCTTCTTCGAGTGGGTAGTAAACCATTAGCTCCTAATGTCCTCCTGTTTTTTTAAGTTCTTCCTGTTGACTGAACTCGCATACCCTGCGCACATATCTGATCAGAGATCTAGGTCTAACTTCTCCGTCGAGCAAGAGCAGTTCACGTTGCAAACGGTCAGTGTTGTCAGCGGGAACAGTATCAACGTCCCTGTGGTTAATGGTGTATTAGTCACAATTCTTTGCGGTTTATGAGAGGTCAAAAAGGGTGTTTGGTTTGCATACAGGAAAGCGCTTCCAACAGCCAATATGTATTTAATTTTCCGATTGTGCAATTTGCTGTTCATTGTGTAAATGAATGTCCGTTTTTCTATTTTAGTTTTCATATGAGGTTAAATGTGTACAACTGCAACAGTCTAGTAAAGAAATTAAAGTTCACATGACATATGTAATTAGTGAGTTAGCTGGAGCTGTATTGCAGTGCTGTTGTACCAATGTGCCCTGCTAATATTTTTCATGCCACATGGATAGACTGACAGTAATATATTTCTTAGTTTGCCGTATTGCTGCATTTTTATTGTGCTCTACAAAACACGATTTTAACCGTCTTGCAAGAATGTGCATTTATCTTTATGGAGGGCACAGTTCTGTTCCATTCTGGTCCATTTATGCATGTAACTACTCCCAACCATTTTTGCATTTTTATTGCAGAAGTAGGTGAACTGCCCATAAAATGCCATGGTTATTGGAACTGAACACCTACACCAAGTATTATTCTTAAGGTGTATTTTAAGTTGTTCATACTATAGATATTTTTTTATTTGATTTATAGATCCTGTGCTAAATGGACCCTTGGTGACACACTGGTGTGTGATTCCCTCATCGGTGCGAGAATGCTTTATTTTAATTTCCAGATATAGTAAGAAATAAAAGGGACACTTTGCCCAGCCTGTGGTGTTGTGGTGGCTATTCCTCCCTGCACGCACCATACTGGTGTTATGGAATCTCACGTGTTTGGCCAGCACTGGCTCTCACATGACCTATGTGTGCCTCCGTAATGGCTTATCACATGGTAAAGGCACCACATTTAAGGTGTTATGGCAGATGTCTCATGTTAGCCCTCTAATGTCCTTATGTAATGGTTTTCTTTAAATCACTGCCAGGCAGTAACCAATCTGTTTAAAAAAAAAAAAAAACGATTGTTCTTGTTTTTTTTACATTACTTTTACAATCTCTGGATCATTTGATACTTTTTGCAGGCATGTTGGTGTCTTGTTAGAATGAAAGCACTTTTCCTAAATTATGATTAGGCAGTAATTCATTGATTCATAGCACGCAGTTGGTCTGATGATTACCAAGTATCTTTTTGTACACAATCTGGTGTTATCAGTTTAATATTTATTTATTTTGTTGGAGCACTTTACCTGTGGTACAATTAGACTGATAATCCATGTACGTCGCAGACGAGTCAGTTTTCAGTATAATTATCCAGGTTTCTAGTTAATTCATAGTATTAGAGCAACGTGAAAAATCGTTTCAGCATAGTCATGCGGAATAATAACATTGCGTTTGTCGGTACTGCTTTGTGTCACGGCAATACTATGTTAGTATGTCCTTTGTTGTTTTATAAATATTACAGTATTACTCATGGAAATTTCACATTTCGTAATGTGATATTGTGCAGCCCGACATAGTATGTTTTATACTACATGTACTTCATGAAAATGGCTGTTAATGGATTGGAAGAGATGCATTGTGGGGACAGCAGTGCTGACCAGTAGAGTTTATAGCAGCCCAGGTGAGTAAACCTGAACACTCTATACACTCTATACATGTACTGGGTCCACAGTAATTTTACAGGCCTTTTGGTTGTATATTTTGGTGCATTCAGAGACTGTAAAGTGCATTTATAGGTGTTGCAAGTATTGAATTTAACCACCGATTTTAACTACAGCTGCTCGCTAAAGACTATTTCATATTTCTGAGTTGAGCCGACACTGTGACCTCTACATGTGACCCACACTCCTGTAAGCATTTATACTTGTTTGCTGGTGTGTCTGTCACTCAGCAATTACACCTGCAAATCGCTAGGTGATGCATAGTTTTGGCTGTTGCATTTGTCTTCTCACCCTGCTATGTATGCAAGCACACAAGTGAAACAGAAAAAAACTAACAAATTAATATACAACACAGGCTGTGGTGCAGGCTCCACGGCTATACATACATACAGCGTTGGTTTGACGCAGAAGTATAAATCAGCCTTAAAGAATAATTGACAAGTTCCTGTTGCTGAATTAAGTCTCGCCTTTGTTAGGAAGTGGAGAAATGTCATGGTGTACAAGCAAATTGAATATAAATGCAGAACCAGGGAAATAAGAGTTGGATTTGAGGAAGGCCAGGGGATAGGCATGTTTTAGTGGGAAAAAGTTTCTCTTTTACCTTAAAAAATAATAATATCTCCCTTTTCTGTAAGATTGAACTGCTTATTGTGCCAAGATTGGTCCTGAGGAAGTGCCATTCATTTCTGTGGAGTAAACTTATTTTGAAATAATAATAATTGATACTTTTATATTAATCCCCATGGGGAAATTCTCTTATTGCCTCCCACAGCTTGTTCTCTATAGGTGAGAGCAAGCTGGCCGCAAAGGGCAACCAAGAACCCATTAAGGGCCTGGCTCAAGAACCCGTTAAGGGCCTGGCTCAAGAACCCGTTAAGGGCCTGGCTCAAGAACCCGTTAAGGGCCTTGCTCAAGAACCCGTTAAGGGCCTTGCTCAAGAACCCGTTAAGGGCCTTGCTCAAGAACCCGCAGGTGTGATGAGGCTGGGCTCGAACCGGCAACCTTCTTATCACAGGCACAGAGGCTTAGTCCCCCAAATGTTACCCCAAATATATGACTTTCCCCCCTCCTTTTTAAAGATGACTGTAACTGCAAAGGAAGGAAGAAGAAGAACATCAGGCTGTTAAGCTCTTCAGGTGTTTAACATACAAGTAACAAATGCTTACCTCATACGTGAGTGCTGGCGTTCATCAGGGACATCCAGCATGTAGACCCTGCTAAAAGAGTGCAGTCTTGGAGAAGACCGGGGGGGGTGTGTGGCCAGAGGCAATGCTGTGCCCCCCCTTGTCATCAGTGGCACTACTCTGTAAATGCTTCAGACCCAACCAGTTTTCAGGAATGTGTGTGTGTGGATTATGTTTATATTACATGGTGGGTCCCAAATGTTCCCCACAATGTAATATAAACCTGTCTTGTTGACATTGTGGGACCATTTTTGTTTTGTTTGGTTACTTATGGTTAAGGTTAGGGCTGGGTTGGGGTTAAGGTCATTATGTTGGGATTATGGTTTTCCCCATAGAAATGGAGAGTCCCCACAAAGATATAATCACAAACCTGTGCATGCGTGCGTGGGTGTGTGGGTGGGTGTGTGGGTGTTTGTTTCTACTACTTCCTGTGCTTTTAGAGGCCAAGCAAAGCATAGTATTGTACAATCTGAATGCTCCAATGTAGCAGTTTAATTCAATGATGGGTCATTTTTCACTCATGAGCAAGAGGGTGTGCATGCCTTCAAATCCACTCAGCTTTTACTTCATACTCTTTGATTAGCTGCTGACTTCCTGAAATTCAACAGCTTATTTTGAGTCAAACATTAGCTGAGCTACCGTCATGCCTTTGTGTGGTCATACCCAGTTACTGCTGAGGAATGTAAGTGCAGGTGACACAGTGGCTCCGTGTGGCCTGACACCTCTAGGCCTGGTGCTTCCTGTGGAGTTTGCATGTTCACCCCGTTTGCACTGATTTCCTGTGGGTTACTCCAGTTTCCTCTTGCAGTCTAAAGATGTTCATTTAGGCTAATTTGTACAATTGTGTGTGTAACTTGCTGTGCCTTGCAGTGGACTGGTCTCATCCCAGGTACTCTCACAGTGACCCTGATCTGGAAAAGTGGGTAGAGTATGGATGGATGGATGGACTGATGGATGGATGTTATATATTTAAAGGGGACAACACTGCCACAGTTTTAGGTTATTATACTAAAATATTTTATTCCATCCACATAATATCTTAAAAACCTTCAAAAATATTGGAATGTTAAGCAAATGAGTTGCAATGATTAAGAAACAGGATATATAAGCTTGCATTACATGTATTCCTGAACCGCAAGTTTAACAAATCTTTAGTTGATTCATTCTGTTTACTCTGTTTTGAATCAGATTATTAGCACCTTAATTGAAAGTAATTAAGAACTCTGCTGGAATGAAAATCAGCATTACCATCTGGCCTGTGAGGGATGCCCCGCCCCGCCCTGGGCTATGTTTACTGTCGGCTTTGCCCTTCGCGGGTGAAACACGTTCTGTCCCTTCCATTATGCCTTAATAATGTCTCTATAACCTATTGACGTGACTCTGTAATTTGGCCCTGGTTGCTGGTGGGCAGTGGCCCACACTGAAATGGTTCTAGGTGGGATGCAGTTTTCCCACATAATTTAATTCCTGATTTCTGATATGGTTTTCAGAGCTTCCTTAAATATGCAGGCGCCCATTTTTGTTCTTCAATAAATCACTCGCTGGGTAATCAAGCCAACAGGACATGATCCTGTTGCAAGTATTTTGGCTTTGGCCAAGCGAACGCCATAAGTGGTAGAAGCTCTTTTGGCTGTGACCGTTAGAATGGTTTATATTTCTCTTCCTTGGCCGTTGAGCAGCTGCAGCCAATCAGCCTCACCAGCAGACATGCATCTTTAGCTGTGCTGTGCTGTGCTGTGCTGTGCTGTGCTGTGCTGTGCTGTGCTGTGCAGCCTGTTTTGCTGTTGCCTCACTTCCATGGGGTGATTTAGTGGCAGCAGGCAAAAAGGTAGATTACTGCTCCACGTGATCACTGTTGATTCTTCTGCTGCTGCTGCATTTGAGGGAGAGTTGATTTGCCCTCTTCCAGTAACAATGAATCTATTTAACCTCCTTCACAAACCGGTCTCCTGCATGGAGCCCAGGGAGTATACACACACATTCTAACCCTTCCATCTTATCCAATAGTTTTGGATTAAAAATTTTAGATACTCCCTTAAGGTCTTAAGCAGTTTCAGACTCCTCACTGTCCCAAATATAGTTTTTTTTTTTTTTTTTTTTTTAACCCAAGATTAAAGTAACGTTAGCAATCTTCTGTCTGCCTCGTCTTTACGATCTGCTTTTGCCGTTCCGTTTTTCTGTTAAATGACATGAACTGCTGTCCTAAATTCTCTAATGCAATAACATACAGGCAGACAGCAATCAGGAACACACACCCACTTGTGTTTTCAGGCTTCTGGCTGTTTGGGCTTTTCTCTCTCTATTCTTTCTGTCATAAATCACTCTAAGCCTCTTCATGGCAAATGTATTTGTAAAAATTTGGGATGCTGACCCAGTTTCCACCCTCAGTTCTAAGGGGTGTTCATACTTATCTATAAGTGTGTTCCTATTTTTTGAAAGTGTAAACAGACGTGTCTCCTTTGTGGTCGTCTCGGTTACCATGTCTGCATGAAAGTTAAAACACATTCATTCATTCATTTATTTATTAATTTTATTTTTATATACATTTTTATTTATTTATTTTAGCGTATACCTATTCAGGGCTGTGTGTGTGTGAAACAATATTATGAAAAGATGAGGTCATTCGAGTAGAGCTGAAGAAAAGTATGTGCAAGTGTCACAGTGCATTTATGATCGTGGGCTTTTGTGAGAAAAAATAAAGGACAACTTAATTTGCGAGCTTTTATTGAATGCTAAATGTAAACTAGACTGGCGATTAGCCTGTTGTTTTGCTGTTTGTGCAACATTATATCCAGATTCTTTCTATGCTAAAACACCAGATGGTTATCGAATAATCCACAAACTGCAATATAGTAGATTGTAAATGGAAAATGGTTGTAAACCCTACAATGTGTGTCAGATATGTTTTGTGTTATAAAGCTATTAAATGTGTCTTTATATAGCTGGGAATACTGTACTGAGAAATCTTCCTCCCAGCATGCTTTGCTGTCATCACAGCTAAAATTACATGCCGCTTGCCCTTGCTGTCACAGCTCCTATTAACTCCCTTGCTACAGACTGGCATTTATTTGTCCTCGCAGACTTGGAAAGACTGCTCAGGCATTACTAATCTATGTTTGCAGATGAGGATTTCTTCAGCCACAGACACTAAGGCTGCAGATTCATATCCTTTCTTTACTCATTTATCCTTTCTTATTTTGAACTAAAAAAGAATTTGCTACAGGTTTTAAAGAATTTAGAATAATTTAGAACAGCCACCCCCACCCCTAGTTTTCAGTTCCTCCTGTTTTCCCCACATTAGCTGATGCAGCTTTAACCATTTGGCCGTTTGTGAAAGCAAGAAGCCATGCATGGCTTTGTCGCAGGTCTGCCAGGGAAAACACAAACCATCTGTTCCAGCTCAAGCCTGAGAAGGGCTGAGTGGTATCGACGCATGACTGCAGCCTCCCCCACCCTGCCACTCAGGGTGCCGATTGTGCGCACGGGTCTTTTGATGGTCACATGGGCGTCACGTGATCCACCTTTCAGATGGCACTGCCTGCAAATAACAGGCCCCCCCCCCCCAACCCCGCTTACTGCAGATCGGATTCTGAGGCTTGTGTCATCACTCCATCGCCAAAGTGCTGTGCACACGGCTGCAGGTTTTTACTGCCCAGCGGAGTGGAAGCAGCAGGCAGCGAAAATGTCTGTCTGCGGCGACTTCGTATGACTTCAGACGGACCTTTTTTCTTTGTTGCAAGAAGGCTCGTTTTATGTGCATTAAGCCAAAATGCTACTCAGCCTTCTGCCTCACTCGAAGGGTGTTGGTCTTCAATTGCTGCAAGTTAAAGATATCATGTAATTATCAATTGTTGTATTGCGCCAGTCAATCCATATATTAAGTCATTTTAATGTTGTTCTGCTCAGTCAGCAGTGGCTAAAGGGTAAGGCTGTGGTACCACTGAACTCATTCTTTGAAATATATATCGAGTGTGTGAGGAAGAGGAGGAATACAGCCTGTTGCATGAACATACATAACACAAGCCTGCTTCCGTACATGAGTACACTGTCCACATCAGAGAAAGATAATACTTCATAGTTTATATATGTATATATTCAGTCTATTATAACTAAATAGAAATGGAGTTTTTGCTTCGATAGAGTGAGCAGAGTAATCACCATGTGATGGTGACCGTGGTCCCATGCCACGCCGTCCAGACAGGCCTCTAATGAGTTATGGCTGCTCTATTGGCTTCTCTGAATTTTTGGTAAAGTTTTGTCCCAATAGATAGGTTGGAAAAGGAATGGTTTGGTGTTTTCAAAAACAATAGAAAGAAGAGTGTTATATCTTCAAGGGAAAATAGTTTTTACCCTAAATACTCAAAGGAATCTTTTTATTTAAAGCTGAACGCTAAACTATGGCAGAAACACTTTGAATCGTTGCCCATTAAGTATCTTTTGCTGGCATGTTTTTGTCTTTTTCATTTTATGTTTGATGTTCTCTGTATTATTTTCATCAGTTCTCTGTAAGGTTCACTAGAAACCGCTTGTCATTTCTGCAAGATGCCATTTTTAGAGCGAATCAGAAGTGATGCTGGCGGACTCTGCTGGCGTTTTCTCTCCTGCCGGAAGGTGCTCTAGGGCGCTGCTCTTACTGGCAGCTATTAGATATGCCTGTTGCTAGTTTAATGAGATTGCTGAAAGGAATCCAGCGGCATGTGTACAGTAGGAGTGGATTGGAAATTTCTGATTTGTGCAAATTTGGCTGGTTTCCTCTGTGGAACCTTCTGTGAATATAAATGTGAGCGTCCATGTTTAGCTAGCAACTGGTTTTTGAACCGAGGCGACTGTTGTACCAAGGTAATTTGGTGGGTGTCACATTGCACCGAAACATCAAGGTTGCTCTTTAAAATCCCAGAAAGGTCTTGCCTGGAGTAATGTTGAATTAACTTAAGTTAAATTGTCAGAATAAAACATGCTGCCTTTTTTATAAATAGTAAGCTGCTTTGGGTAGCAGAAAATGTGCTAATGATTTAAGCATCACTCTGATGTACTGCAGGGGGAGCTCATCACCTTCTACTACTACTGGAAAAAGACCCCTGAGGCTGCGGGCTCACGTGCCCACCGACGGCACCGGCGGCAGCCTGTCTTCCGGCGAATCAAAACCCGCACGGCCTCCACCCCCGTCAGCACTCCGTCCCGCCCGCCTTCCAGCGAGTTCTGTGAGTGCCCTGCCTCACAGAGTATTGGCTCAGGGCTCACATGCTCATGGTCACTTTTCCACAGGTGGAATGCGCAGAGTATGTCAGTAACAGTAGTATTTATTCACTGCTAATGCTCCCTGGTCATCTAGACCCTGTGATCTGGCTGTTTCCTATTAATACTAATAGATGGCTCTCGCTGCTGCTTTGACCGTGACCTTACCTGGGAATGTCAGCCAAGTTAATAAATGTAATTGTGAATGAAGCACTCTTTGTGTTGCAGTGGACCTCAGCTCAGCCAGTGAGGATGACTTTGACAGCGAGGACAGTGAGCAGGAGCTGAAGGGTTACGCCTGCCGCCACTGTTTCACCACTAGTAAGTCTTTCCGGCCGGTCTTGGTCAGTAGGAATTGTAGACAAAGCGGCCGGTCTTGGTCAGTAGGAAATGTAGACAAAGCGGCCGGTCTTGGTCAGTAGGAAATGTAGACAAAGAGGCCGGTCTTGGTCAGTAGGAAATGTAGACAAAGCGGCCGGTCTTGGTCAGTAGGAAATGTAGACAAAGCGGCCCCCTTCCCCCTCTTCCTTAGTTGAGGGAGAAGTTCACTGGCAAGAACCATTCCGAGACTTTTCACAGAGACTCACTCATCCAATGTCATTAAACCTGCTTGCTGCCTTAAGCTTGGCCTAAGTGGTGCTTCATGTGGTGTGATTGGCCATTAGTTCTCTGTTACTGCACATGTAGTGCGGACAGGAGAACCACAGCAGTAAATCAATGCACGATTAGGCTAAAGCTTAGGATCTGTGGTCAGTAATTAGATACCTAAATAATTACTGATGTTATGCACTTGCAGTCCAGTCATACTTTACAGTCCTGTTTCACCTGCTTAAATGAGATGATATGCCAGTCTGGTTTTAATTACCTGTGTAAATACTGCATAATAATGCAGTTGAATGCCAGGAGGTACATAAAGCTAAATTAATAATTATGATAATAATAGTAATAATGATAATTAATGAAACAATGGCTGAATATGTACATTTACTTTGCCTCCGCAGCTGTGCATTTTAAAGCGTATGGGAGTTCATTAACCCTTACTTAAAAGAGGAGAGTGTTTGTTAATCGATATCCTGTTGTGTATTTATCAGCTTATAAGCGTGCTGTAGGTCTGCCACTAATGACTATGTTTATATCGATTAATCTATAGACTATTTTGCCAATTGGTTGATTAATCTAAAAGATAAATTTTCCTCCAGTAAATCAAATTTGCTGTTTGTTAGGTTGGTTTCATTGCTTTTGGGCGCTATGCGCACATTATTTTCAGCCACAATTGGGGGTGAAAATATGCGTCGATTTCAAATATTGATGTCAACGCATTTTCAGGGTCAACATCATCGACTACACTGACTATTCGCAGCAGCTCTAGTGTTATGTGACACATCTGAAATGGTTCTTTTAGTTTAATTCAGCGAGCAGTTCAGTAGTCGAGCTGTTGAGCAGAGGTGAAAGCCATAGCGTCCCGACTCGGCTGCACGCGGACTGTCAGCAAGCGGCTGGGTACACTGACAGCTATTTGCTGCTTCAGCCTCCAAGGACTGGCACCACGGGGGCCGGGAGAACATCCTGCTCTGCACAGACTGCCGGCTGCACTTCAAGAAGTACGGGGAGCTGCCGCCCATCGAGAGGCCCGTAGAGCCGCCGCCTTTCATGTTCAAGCCCGTGAAGGAGGAGGAGGATGGGCCTGGCGGGAAGCACAGCATGAGGACGCGGCGCAGCCGGGGCTCGGTGAGGGGGCGAGGGGGCGAGGGGTGAGGAGAGGCAGGCTGCTTACATTACCAAGCCTCCAGCAGGGACCTGCTTCTGAGCTGCAATCTCTCATTGGAGCTGTCGAAGTAGAGTTGGCCAAACGGTGCATTTCGGGATCCTGTGAAAGATTAATTTCTTATATATGGTAGTCAGCTGATCTGCAGGCTTTTCTCTGGGGGGGAGTCGGCCTGCGTCCGCTGTCACTCTGGGAGCGCGGTGCAGAGCACAGGGGCCAGCTGCTCCTCTCGCTGGCAGCCCTTGGCAGGGCGTGATGGCTGGCTAGAGCTGTTCTCTCTCCCCTCCCGTCCCAGATGTCCACGCTGCGGAGCGGCCGAAAGAAGCAGACAGCCAGTCCTGACGGCCGCACCTCCCCCCCAGCCGAGGACCAGCGTTCCAGTGGGCGCAACTCGCCCAGCGCTGGCAGCACGTCCAGCACAGACAGCAAAGCAGACTCTCTGAAGAAGCCTGGCAAGGTCTGGCCACTTCACTCAATAGCTGCAGCTGGGGCTTGTCGTCCCTGCAGTGCTGTCAGTCTAGAAATGTCCCTGAACTTGGACTCATCTGCAAAATTAAAACCAGAACCTTTCGTGGTTCCCTTGTAGTGTAGGGCAGTGTTTCCCAACCCGGTCCTCAGGGAACCACACATGGTCTACGTTTTTTACCGGGAGCTGGGAGGGAACAAAAACGTGGACTGTCTGCGGGTCCCCAAGGAGCACATTGAGGAACACTGGTGTAGAATGTATATTCAGCATCCACCGAGTGTCTTGTTTTAGCTTTTACTGTAATTTTTTTAATCTCAGGAAAACCAAATAATGTGTTCAACGGTGGATTTTAACTGTCAGACTTTACATGAGCGATCGCTCCCCTCAGATCAAAGACGAAGTGGCCTCTCCCATGAAGAGGGCCAAGCGGCAGCGGGACAAGGGGGCCTCCGACTCTGAGGAGCCAGAGAGACCTTCTGCCAAGAAGTCCAAGACTCAGGTGAGAGGTCCCTGTGGCCCCACACCGCTGCCCGCTCTGTACACTGCCCGTTCTGTACGCTGCCCGCTCTGTACGCTGTCATCCGCAGGACATTTGCCTAGAACGAGTATTGGGTTCTGGTGCTGCTGAATTGTGCCTTCAGCGTTCTATTTTGTGGTAAAGCCTTATGCTGGTGTCTGTGCCATGCAGGAGCTGGGTCGGCCCGACTCGCCATCGGAGTGCGAGGGGGAAGGCGAGAGTTCAGACGGGCGTAGCGTGAATGACGAGGGCAGCAGTGACCCCAAGGACATCGACCAGGACAACCGCAGCTCATCACCCAGCATCCCCAGCCCACGCGACAACGAGAGCGACTCCGACTCCTCAGCGCAGCAGCAGGCCCTGCAGATGCAGCACCCCCCTGTCATCCAGATGCCCCCAGTAACTGTTGCTGCTGCTGCCCCAGGCAGCTCTGCAGCCTCTGCCCTGACCCCCCAGGTGGCGCAGTCCGGGGTGCCGGCCGGCCTCCCCCCCCAGCAGCCGCTGGTCCAGCCCCAGAGACTGGCTTCCCCACACTCACCCCTGCCGGGGCTACCTCCGGGTCCAGCCTCCTCCCAGACACTCCCCCAGCCTCCTATTCATGCCCAGCTGCCCCCCCTGCCCCACTCACTACAGGGAAGCTCCTCCCACCCCCACCCACACCCACCCTACCCTCTCCCCACCCACTCTCAGTTACCCCCTGCTCCCCCTCTGCCAGGACAAGCTCCACTGCGCCCTCACAGTCCACCCTCGCAGGTGCCCACCCCCACGCAGGGCCCCCCCCGCGAACAGCCCCTGCCTCCGACACCCATATCCATGCCCCACATCAAGCCGCCTCCCACCACACCCATCCCGCACATGTCCAGCTCACAGTCTCACAAGCACCCCCCTCACCTCTCTGCACCTGCCTTCCCCCAGATGCCCTCCAATCTGCCCCCCCCGCCAGCCCTGAAGCCCTTGAGCTCCCTGTCCATCCACCATCCACCTCCAGCTCACCCTCCACCTCTGCAGCTGATGCCCCAAGGCCAGCCGCTGGCAGTGCCCGTGCTTTCCCAGACCCAGACCCAGAGCCATGCCCTGCCGCTGGCGGCGCCCTCCTCTTCGCAGTCGGCTCTGCCCCTGCACCCGTTCCTGCCCACGGGCTCGCCATCTCCTCCCCCCTCCACATCTATGCCGCTGCCTCCGTCTGTGGGCTTGTCCTGCCCTGGACCCTCGAACGTCCCAGCTGTGCAGATTAAGGAGGAGCCCCTGGATGAACCAGAGGAAGCTGACAGCCCGCTCCCCCCGCAGAGAAGCCCCTCTCCGGAACCGACGGTGGTCAACACCCCCAGCCACGCCAGCCAGTCAGCACGGTACGGCGGGCGCCCCATGTGTCCTTGTATCTCTGCAGCAGCGTGTGCCTGCAAGCTCACGCACCGTGAGCTCTATCTTTAGGCCGCTCCAAACCCATGTGCATGCTGATGGTCACCTTGACTGTCGAGTCCTAGGTCCACATTGTATGGTGGATAAGCTATTTAATTACTTTTGTCCTGCAGCTTAGCTGAACAGCTTTCATGCCTGCTCTCCTTAGCCTCGCATCATTTTTCCAGGCTTAGTCTGCTGTGGCCCCATAAATATTTTAATGCACCTGATAGTCCTCTATTCATTAAGGCTGCTGTACTCATAACATTGTCGATATGGCTTAAAATGCAGTAGGGTGGCGGTAATTCCGCACGCGCTGATTCGGCTGAACTGTACCAGCTTATTCCCACTGATGAAGGATGGTTTGAGATGAGGTTATTGGATTGTCGGTTCAGTCTCTTCTCAGTTTTTTGTTAGTGGCTTATAGTGTCTTGGTCTCATCAGAGCTGCTGAGATTTTGTAATCAAAGGTTAAGTTTGTGTGAAGTAACTTTGTCAGCTCTGCTCAGTATGCATGACACTGCCTGTCTCCGCTTGTCTCTTATCAGTGTTATGTAAGAATTGGATCCTCTTAAAAACTGACATTGGTGCACTAGTACTATATTTTTGCCCTAGTCATGTATCCAGTGTTATTTCAGCTTAGTTATGTCGTTCAAGCATTATTTGAAAATTTATTGTAATTAACTTTGCTTATTTGTTTTTTTTTTTTTTTTTTTTTTTTTTTTTTTTTTTTTTTTTTTTTTTTTTTTTTTTAAATATTCCTACTGTTACAGTTCTGCATAAACTTAGCACTGTGTCCATGGCTAAATCCTTTCAGGAGTAGAAGCACTTAAAGCAGAGTGCCGATGGTGCAGCGTGTAACTTGCTAATGTGTTCACAGCTTCTATAAGCACCTGGATCGGGGATACAACTCGTGTGCTCGGACAGATCTGTACTTCACCCCCCTGGCGGCCTCCAAGCTGGCCAAGAAACGTGAAGAGGCACTGGAGAAGGCCAAGAGGGAGGCCGAGCAAAAGGCCAGGGAGGAGAAGGAGCGGGAGAGGGAGCGGGAAAAGGAGCGAGAGCGGGAGCGGGAAGCTGAGAGGGCTGCCGTAAGTGTCTATGTATGACTTTACTAATGGTGCCACGTTCTCTGTCTTCCCTGTGCATGAGCACAGACAAGGTATCTTTAACAACTTGTTGTTAATGTGGGCAGCCTGGCCTGGTAAAAGTCTGGTCTGCCTGGTGTCTGTGTTGTATTTTGATCCTGATAATTGTATTCCCATCAAAGGGAAGAGCAAATCCAGACGATATTTGACATTGTGAATGCGATAAGTCAAAAAGATTTGATTGATCTTATTACGGTTTCACAAAGACATTATATGGATGATCTATGCCTCCTTTTGAGATAAACTGCCCCAAAAAAGCAGCAGCTATAGAAGCCGCTTGGTCTTATGTAGACAGTAATTCTAAAAGTTTTGTATCAATGTTTTTCAAACTTTGCACACATGTATTGCTGACAAACTGGAATTGATCACTTGTTGAGGCAGATCACCCCAAAACTGAAGGAGTGTCATATAGTGATAACAAAGGAATGGACAGCCTCAGACATTTGATCTTGTACCAGCAATAACTTAAAAAGTGCTTCACAGATCTTTTCCAAATTTTGCTATGTGTGTGTGTGAGGATTTGAACTTTAGATTTTGGAATGAATCACGCTAAAATTGAAGCAATGCCATTTAGTGACAGCAAAAGGAAGGATGACTGCAGAAGATGCTTGTCCTTGTGAACAGGATAACTCTATTTAATATTACCGTATTTACTCTACTTGATCTTTAATGGATCTTATCACCCCTTTAAAAAAAATCTATCCCTGATTGACCAGAGAGAGTCTCAAAATTGAAATAGCAGCGACAGGTGGGAGCAGAGGGCAGAAAGGGAGGAATTTTTTTGAGTTTTAAAATTGAATTTAGTGGAAATACTCAGATGCCTAATGACCATGTGAATGCTATTATATTACAGGTGTCAGACTTATTAGTATGTCACATTCTTTTCATTCTACTCCTATATTCTTCATAATTGTTTATAATGGCCAAACAGGTTCACTTGTAAAATATACTTGGAGTGCAACCCTTTTCGCTGCACCATGCCTCACAGCTAGTTTCAGAATGCTTGAGCTAATTAAGATGCATCAGAGATTCACATGCCACCTGAATGATGCTGTTATGTGGCTCACTCTGGCCCCATGGTTCAACCAGGCAGGTGTAATTAAGGCGTTTCTCTGCAGAAAGCCTCCAGCTCTTCTCATGAGACCCCAATGGCTGGACCCGCCCACCTGCGCCCATCCTTCGAGCCGACGCCTACCACCATCGCGGCGGTGCCGCCCTACATTGGGCCCGACACGCCGGCGCTGCGCACACTCAGCGAGTATGCCGCCCGGCCGCACGTCATGTCGCCCACCAACCGCAACCACCCCTTCTTCGTGTCGCTGAACCCGGCCGACCCGCTGCTGGCGTACCACATGCCGGGCCTGTACGGCACCGACCCGGCTGTGCGGGAGTTGCGGGAGCGGGAGATCCGGGAGCGGGAGTTGCGGGAGAGGATGAAGCCCGGCTTCGAGGTGAAGCCGCCCGAGCTGGAGGGTCTGCACCCCGGTGCCAACCCCATGGAGCACTTTGCGCGGCACGGTGCGCTGACACTGCCGCCCATGGCTGGCCCCCACCCTTTCGCCTCCTTCCACCCGGGCCTCAATCCCCTGGAGCGGGAACGGCTGGCGCTGGCCGGACCCCAGCTGCGGCCCGAGATGAGCTACCCGGAGCGGCTGGCAGCCGAGCGACTTCACGCCGAGCGCATGGCCTCCGTCGCTAATGACCCCATCGCCCGCCTACAGATGTTCAACGTGACGCCGCACCATCACCAGCACTCGCACATCCACTCACACCTGCACTTGCACCAGCAGGATCCGCTGCACCAAGGTGAGCATCTCAGCCGGCCTCCATGCTGTTTATGCGCTTATGCTGATGAGTCAGTCTGATCTGCTCTGTATGTCTGGCTGTTGTGAGCTGACGTCAGTGAGCGTGACGTGTTGGCTTTGCTGCATCGGTTTGCATGCATCTGCTTCTGCTGTTTTACTTTGATGATTCCCTGATATTCTTACAAACAAAGCTGACACCCAGAAGGTGGTGGTGGTGAATGTCTTGTGTGTCCTCCAGGCTCCGGGGCCCACCCACTGGTGGACCCTCTTGCCGGACCCCACCTGGCTCGTTTCCCCTACCCTCCTGGAGCCATTCCGAACCCCCTGCTGGCCCAGCCACCGCATGAACATGAGATGTTGCGCCACCCAGTGTTTGGTAAGTGAACTGCAGCCATTATTTAATTTGTCTTGCAGCCTCTGTCACTCTTCTGAAATGAATATCATTCTGTGGTTTAAAATAGTGCCACATTCACAGCATGCTTTATCAGCTTTACATGCATTTAAATGCACTAATTGTTAAGGTAGCTGTGGCTGTGCCCGCAGGTACGCCATATGCGCGGGAGCTGCCGGGGGCGCTGCCACCGCCGATGTCGGCCGCACACCAGCTGCAGGCCATGCATGCCCAATCTGCTGAGCTGCAGCGGCTAGCTATGGAGCAGCAGTGGCTGCACGGTCATCATCACATGCATGGAGGGCCATTCCCCGGACAGGAGGACTACTACAGGTCAGGCATGAAACGGAATGCTCAGGTTAACTAGCGTAGCTAGAGCGGCGTTTCTCAAACCAGTCCTCAGGAACCCCAGACTGTCCACATTTGTGCTTTTACCCAATTCCCTGGGAGCTGGGAGAGGAGAGACCTGTGGACAGTCTGGGAGTCCCCATGGCCTGACTGGCGAAACACGGAGCTCGACCTGGGCCGTAGTTTATCCATAGTGTATTTAGTTTGAAATGCTGAATTAAATTATGTTCGTAATTTATACACCTGCTGTTAATATCTTATTACACTTTTTTCTTTGCAGCCGTCTGAAGAAAGAGAGTGACAAGCAGCTTTAACCTGTGCAGGGGAATGAGGATACATTGCTTTGCAAGACATTGTTACAAGGCCCAGGAAGTAGTTCAAAGATTTTGGGAGGTGCTGTGGGACAGTCACCGTAAAGAACAATTTTTTAGAAAGAGCAAATCCGGCTGAACAGCTGAAAATGCGCATCTGAAGAGTTTTTTTTTTTATTAGTCATTTCCTGTTCTGGACAGTTTTACTTTATTTTTAAAAAAAAAAAACTTTATTTGGTATACTGCATTGAAGTAGCCACGACGTGCTGAAGATTTTGACTTCCCTGCATGAAATACTCTGAGGCTTTCCTGGCGTTTCTGTAGGTGCTAGAATACAAGACACTTTGTCACTGTGCTTAACGAGAAATAGGCAAACCACAGCCAGGCTATTACGTTGGGTGTGTGAAATGCTGTCTTAAACTCCAGTTATTTTATTACATTGTAGGAAGCTCCTCTAATTTTAAAGAAAGTGCAGCATGTTATTTTGAGTCTGTAAATAATATATAAATATATATAAATATATATTAAAAATATATAGTTATTGATTATTATTTTTAGGTGTGGATTCCTAACTGAGGTGATAAATCACCTGTATTTCTGTTTTGAAGAAGTATCCCTTCGTTTCAGGGAGAGCACAGTCTGGTCAGATGCTCCCTGGACTGGTCTTACTTCCCAAAATGAGGGCAGGTGGGACACTGCAGTGCAGGAGTGTTTTTATTCGGAACCACGCCTGGGTGCAAATGACTCTCTGCCCCCCTCCTCCCTGCCCCCAGTCGACAGTGAACGCAGGCATTTCCTCTGTCTCTCAGTAATCTGTACAGACAAGCAGCCCCCATAAAAGCTGCCCGTAGCAGTGAGCTCGGAGAATGAGGGCAGGACTTCACCCCAGCGGATTTGCATGCTAGGCTGGCAAACAGTTGCACTTTTACAATCAGAACATTTCCCTTGACCAAAGTATGGAGTTATTTTGGAATAAAGGCCTACAAGACACAATTACTGTTATATTGCTGTCATATGGGATAGTAAACAGCAGAATTACTGCTATAAATGTTTTCTCATGTGGAGGGAAAAAGGAAAAATACTGAACACTTCTCAATGTTTTTCAAAAGGACCTTACCTCAGATATGGATTATGATTCCATTTTCACTGCTACACTATTTTATTGTGAGTTTACTTGTTTTTAAAACAATCTTGGTAATTGGTGCTAAGCGCTCTTCCTCTGTAGCCGTTTTTCATGTTGCTTGCTGAGGTTCTTGCCAGGCTCATGAGCCGGGCGGTAGGGTTTCTCAACGCAGTCTCCTGGGTCGCTGACGATGGTGACTCATCAGTTTGGGGTGGGACCTGAGCAATGGTAGCAGACTTGGGACAGGAGATCAACAAGGTCACTCAAGGTCCTTTCTGAATTCCACAGTCTCTGCAGGATCTCTTCCTTTGGCATCAGGGGTTAGTGTGTATGTCTGTGTGTGTGCGTGTCTTCTCGCGAATGTTCATTATATTAGATGGAGTGTTCACATATCAAACCACTTATGATTTTTATATTCTGATCATATACCCGTTTCATTTGATGTTCTTGCAATATAATGACTTTAAACAGAAATTCTATCTCAATATGAATTGCTAACAGTTGTGGGGGGATTATACAATTGTGTTTTTTTTTGTTTTATGATTAACTGCTCATTCCTAAATAGACACTCGTCTGCCACACTATGCTAAACATTGATTTCCACCATTTTACAAAGATCAGTTACACAAAGATTAACTTTTTTTTTCTTCCCTAAAGTGTGACTTCTGGAAGTTGGCTGCTTCCTGAATCTTGTTGTGTTCCCTGTCTCAGTCCAGTGCCATGAGCCCCCCCACCCCTCCCCCTCTTTTGTCTCAAACCTTTGATGTTAAGTGTTGTCAATGGTTTAGCTTGTTGTTTCAAAACAGCAATAGCAGAATGTACATTCTGACTGCTAAAATTGGATTATATATACCGATATCGTAAAACTTATTGTATATATTAGTTTGCCAGGGGATGACACAATATAAACAAGAAGTAGACATAAGAGAAATTGTGAGTCCTGTGTTTTCTCCATATGAGTATTTTGTATTTTTTTTTTTTTTGAATATTTTGTGGAATTAAAATTAACTGTTAAACCAAAACCATGTTGAATGGAAGTTATTACATTTGAATGGGATGAGTGAGAGATGGCGTCACTGAGTGACATTGTTTGTATGTGTAGATTAGTGTAGGACTGTTGTTCCTGAAGTGTTCTGGCAGAAGGTGTCAGAATAATGCTGTTGTATGTTTTTGCTATTTCATAACCAATATGTATTAGTATTAAAACAAACTATAACTGTACAAAGGTATTTATGAAATCTTTTAGCCCCCAGGTTAAAGTAATTGCAGAAAAGTAGACCGTATGAGTGCATTTATTATCCTGTAGATGCTTCCTGTTTCAATTGAGACTTTTGCTGCTTAAACTGTCAGTCAGATGCTTTATAGATGCCAGTCATGTCCATTTTGTAGCAGAGAGGGGACTTTCAAAAGCACTTATTAATGGTGCATTGCAGAAGGTAACAAAGGAATTAGTGAGGACAATTCACATGACATTTCAGCTGTATGAGTCACTACCTGCCTTCTGCATTAGTCAGTCCTGGAGCTTAACCCACCTGGCTTCTGACCAAGTGATGGCTCCCTACAGAAAGTTAAGCTTTCTCTCTTTTTGGATTATGTACTTCAGTCTGCATTTTTTTTTCTCGTGAATTCTGTTAAAACCTAATAGGTAAATAAGCAAAGTCCGTAGACCTACATTTCTTGCTAAATTTAATTCTTTTAGTCCTGTAAGGCTGGGTAATGGTTCTTTTGCACTGCCCTACAAAAAGACACTTTATGGAAACTGAAGTGATGGTTTTCTCCATGTAAGATCTGCTATGAAAAAATGTAGTTTCTGTAGTAATCACATAAAATAGTTTTTTTTTTTCTATTCCTGTACTGACAAAATATCAACTTGATTAGAAGTCAGTTTTCTCTCTGGTTAAGTAGTTACATCTCACATAATATGCCTAGCATTAATATTCATTATAACCTTTTATCATGGTGGAGAACAAGATTCTGAAAAGGTCCAACATTGGCAAAAATCATGCTTTTTCAGGTCACACCACAATTCACAATTTTATTTTAATCTGAGACTTCACTACGCAACTTCAGGAGAGTATTTGTGCTATTTAAGCAAAGTTCAAGAGGTTTTCTAGTTTTGACAGTATAGACATTTCTGCTGTGTTCTAACTGTTGTGCTGACTTTGCTAGCAATTGTATTACTTCATTAGGGTGGCTGATGTGAAAAGGTACTTGTTTCAGTGACCCTTGAAAATCCCCGAAGCATGACTCATTACCACTTTAATGTTTTTATGTTCACTAAATCATGTTTATAATCACCATCTATACAGCACTGGTATTTCATGCGGGCTAATTTCTTAGATGTACACTGAACCAGAATGTTTTGGTAAATGTGTGCCTTGGAAATATTTTGTGCTTTGACACTCTGAAAACTGCAGATGTCCTGTTGGTATATGGCCTCCTTGAAAATTAACCTGTAGGAAAGGGGGTTCGGGTGATAATTGGCTGAGCTTTTTACATGACGGCAGATTTTTGGTTGTAGAAACCATATTATGACATGAGCTGTACGTTCATTTCCTGTAAGAGCTCTGTTATACTGGAGCTGCACATAATTACCTGCAATGAATGAAAATCACTTTTCCTCCATGACACTGGAAGGGATAAAAGATGCCAGAGCCACTAGAGCTGCTACCCGAAGAGATTAGATGTTGGTTTTATTAATCTTATGACAGCGCATCCAAATCAGTCTGATAAAAGAGAAACATATTGTAATAAACATCAAAGCAAATATGGGACATTTTTTTGGGCTTAGGGTTTTATTATCTGTAGAAGAATTTGCAATAAATACACAAAAACCACAAGGGAAGATGTATGACTGGCACCTTGTCTCAGTACATCTACTGAAAGAGTGTTGGGGGAACTTTTTGTCCTGGTGGTTCTGGAATTTGGCTCCCAAAAAGACACAGTTTCAGTTTGTCACCTAAATAATGGTAGAAACAAAAATGGAGTGTGTTGTGATGCTGCCCCACAATAGAGAAACAACCCCTGGAAAAACTCCGGATAAACCTGAGTGCTGTTGAAACCTCACCCAGCAGAGGCAATTAAACTCGCTATGATTAATTAGTATATTGCAGTAGCAGAGGAAAGTGATTCTGTGCAGGGGTAATGAGTGTGGCGGATGAATAGAGCCAGTCGGTTGCTCCAGACCATGTTTTACAGTAGAATGCCTTTATTGTCATTGTATAGACAGGTAACAGAACAATATTCAGACTTCATATATCCAATCTTGCTGATGAGGTGGAGTGTAGGATTCACATCGACCCCTTTCAGCATGGGTTTTGGGGTGTAAGGACCTTGCCCAAGCAACATTATTAAAACCCTTTGGGCACAGATGCCTCATCTGAAGAGCTACAGCTGTGTCCATCTGATTGAAGTTCATTGGACAAATAATTGCATATATGATCTTAAGCACACAATTCTTTGAATTTTTTCCACATTAAGAACTCTCGTGGCACTATACAGACGCATTAAACACCTGGATGCTGTTCTCACTGTAAACCAGGGTATATATTGTCAGAGCTTTTAGTCTCTGCAAATAATTGACCTCTCTGATGTAGCCTGACACAGCTGGAAAAAGCCCTTCGGCACTGTGCATGAGGCAATCAAAGGAGCGTTCCCGGAGTGCCCTGCTTTTAAAACAGCAGCAGAATGCAACACACGTTTTTGTAGCCAAGGCGTAATTGACTCCTGACCTTCCAGATGTGGTGCCCGTGACCCGAGCTGGAAGAGAACGTCAGGTAATCGTTTCATTTCAGTGCTTATGTCAGATGCCAGGCGTTGGCATGAGTCCCAAACTCCAACGTTCCTGATATGATGGACTCTAGTTTTCCTTCAGCTGCTTCACCTGAATAGTAATGTATCAAATTTCTTTATTTTAGGTGCACCCCTAAGAACCTCTGGACACTCAGGGGTGCTTGTTTTGAAGAAATGGAACTCTTGTGAAACACTCCACTGCTGCAGTGATATATCCTTAATTGGGTCCCCACGATGGTGACAGCTGTTTCATTTGCTGGGGTCAGCTTTGCTATTACTTGCGTTGTAGACTTAAATCAGTTGAACTCTAACCCATGAGAAAGGAGCAAGAGAAGTCCAATGAAAAGTATCCCAATCCCACTGACAAGTTCATCTGAAAGCTCAAACAGACCGTCGACCTCCACAGTCCCCACAGTGTGCTGGGCAGCTGGCTCCCAGCAGGGAGAACAGCCTAACCTTGTTCATAATGAATGCGCCAAGATGGATGACCCTGCCACTGTACACATACGCACTGCACTGCCTCCTGATGGGGCGGATTCGGCCGCAGCGTGTATAGATCGGCTTTTGTTTTCCTCACCCCTGCAACACAATCAATCTTCTGTTGTTGGTTGCGGTCACTGCATTGGGAGCAGACGGAAGCCGTTGTCAGATAAACATGCTGCACGGTGTGTAAAGGGACCCTCAAGCCTCTATCCCGCCTCTGCATGATAAATACATGATGTGAGCCTCTCTTGGTGGTGAGCACACTGGCTGAGGAGTCATTCATCATCAAAGAAAAATAGCATCTCACCCAGACTATGCTGTAGAAATACCTTGAAATCTCTTTCTGTCGTAAGCACAGAATCACGCAATAGTTCAAATAAAACACTACATTTACCTGAAGGTTTTTATTTATAGTAAATTATTGTATGGTTTTGATTTCTTTCTCACATATTTGCTCAGATTTTATTCCATATTTTATCTATGTTTATAGTCTGGAATTCATGCTTGAATTTTAAACAGTGAACATCTCACACTAGAACAAAAATTTTTTCACACAGCTACATCTTTACCATACATCTTAAAAACCAAGAAGTTTGAGCGCGGAGTGATGGCTCTGAGGTTAGGGATCTCTCATGGCAAGTGGAACTTTGCTGCGTCAAATTCTGTGACTGCCGGGATTGTTTCTTCTTGGTTGGGCCCTTAAGCAAGGCGCTTAACCTGCAACTACTTTGTTGTGGGTATGATGTTAACCTACATCCAGCCCTACAAGGAGGTCCTCCAAGAACTCGTGGCCATATGTGGAAATTAGCGGGAGAACATTTCAAACTGAATTTAAGGAAGCACGATCTTTACATCTTTACACAGCGTGTAGTCAGAGTATGGAATAGTCTTCCTGATAACGTAGTGCAAGCTGAATCCTTGGGTTCCTTTAAATCAGAGCTAGATAAGATTTTAACAACTCTAAGCTATTAGTGAAGTTCTCCCCAAGCGAGCTCGATGGGACGAATGGCCTCCTCTCATTTGTATAGTTCTTATGTTCTTAACTTTTGGGGGGTTAGTGGCAGGATTGGCGCTCCAGCCACTGGAGAAAACTTCACACTGTTCCACTCCAGTCAAACTAGTGTGGTATTGAGGCTGCACAGCTGTGCTTGGGTTCTCATCCCTGAGGTGGGTATCGTGTGGGAGGTGTGGCAATGCACTGTATCAGCATGTGCTCCTTACCGCTCTTATTTACTGTTACGTATTTTTAAAATGTTTTTTATATTTATTTACGTTTGTTTATCAGAGACGTTATCTAGATAACATCAGGCAGACTTGATGATGGGAAATGCATTACATAAAAACTGCTTTCTTATTAACAGAAATTCTTTGCTGACGATAGAAAGGTTAGTAGTCCTGACGACAACTTACATCGAGCTTTTGCACATTTGTATACACTGCCCCCTGGTGGTAAATATAGCAAAGTGTAATTATAGCAGGTTTCATTCTCATTACTAGCAGTAGTAGGGATTATCCGTCCGATACACTTGTTCATTTTATTCTCATCTACATGGCACCTTACTATACCTTTTTAAGAAAAGGATGACGTGCAAATATAAACAGCTAATTGCTTTACTGAGTCCACTTGTAAACTTTGTATTAGAAGGAGAATAAAAACCTGTCTGAAGCAGCCCTACATTTGGGAAGTTAAACCAGAATGCTTTCCTTGTATGCACCACTTATTGTTGTAGATGGCAAAGGTGTGATG